TTAGTTAGACGGAAATTTATTTATGACAATTAATAAGGAATGGATTTTATCCAATTAAATTATAAATATATATACATATACCTTGTTCTGATCAAATGTGAATGCATAAATATTGTCCACATTAATATTTCGTACGAAATTTTAACAAGTCACGTCATATGCAACAATAGCTTGGAATGCTGTGTGACGACGAGATGCCTTTATTACCCTGTCCAGAACGTGCGTGGATTTTACGACTAAAAACTTTACAATGCCATTCACAAAAACATTAACAATTCATGAATATATGAACATTTTTATTATCAGTATATAATAATGACTCTTACGAGGCAATCTATAGAGAGGACTTAATAAAGTGTGGCTTGTAGTTCGTCGGTTATAAGGTGAAATAATATACATAATGATATGATATGTCGATATGGTATATGTATAATCCTTATGGTATATACATGGTATATGTATAACCCTTACGGTATACATATGTATTATCCTTTCTTCTAACTGCCTACTAAGCCATAACTTATCAAATGACTAAATATTCCTTTAGTTTACCTCCTAATACTTTTTCTAATTATACGGTGTTATAGTTACAGTTTGTCATTTATGATGGGGCCGTTTAGGGCAATCAGAACTTCCATTTCATTTGAAGGTCACATAACTCACGATTTACGACACGGTTCGCGGCTTTGACGAAATCAACATATTATATTGTATTGCGATTTTAATGTGATATAAACAACTGGTAAAAGTATATATTGAGAAATTATTAAATATTAATATACATATATATGAATAATGATTTTGTTAGTAGGTGTTCATTATGAATATTTTGTTATAAGTAAAGTATTAGATACGACTCTTACGAAGAAAGACAAGAAATTGTTTGAATTTCATTTGAATTTTTGACTGTAACATCCACGCATTTTAGAAATTCGTAATTTTATAAACAAGTGATTGTTAACAATCACGTTTTAAAACACATTTACATTTCATGCTAAAGTAATAATAGAATACATTGATTTCTTTTGAAGCTAAATAGTATTTTCAAGGCGAGCCTTCAGTAGTAAGGACAAATTATAATTTTAGAATGAAGAGGTTTGGCTTACATTAAAAATGACAATATTTCTTTCATGTTTCCATTAAGGAGTGTCAGACCATAATTAAGTGTAAGATATGCTATGTTAATATATTTTAAATTCATATCTTCCTAGACGTTTCCGTGTCTTAATTGTATCAACTATTTAACCCAATTACTTGTACATATTATAAATGTTGCAGTGGGCAATCACCATTGACCGTGACCTCATGATTAAACGGACAATGACACGAAATAGGAAAGGATAATACTAACTAAAATATATAAAATTCATATCTATGAAGAAAGTTATATTAACTAGCTAATACACTCGACTTTCTTTGTTTTGTTTAATAATTAAACATAGTACGTGCGTGCAATAAAAATAACTGTATTCGAAGTGCTCTTAAAAATTGTTGTTTTCTCAAAACTTTCATAACTTTATATTAAATGAAGATATGGCGATTGTTACTAACTAAAGTACAACTGTCTTAGGAATTAATCTTTGGAAAATTTAATTGATTTTATTCAGTAGTTTGACTGTGTTTACCCCGTAACAGTAAATATCTTATAATTTCATTTGTATGAAGATAGGTTATTTTGATACTTTGAATATTAAAATGTTGAGTTTAATGCCATAGAAATTCATTCAATGTTGCTGTCAACGAATTATAAGTATACAAATAAAAGTTAGTTTCAAATTCGTCCTTTAAAGAGAGGAGCTTAGACGGTGTAGGTGAGCGTTTAATGCGCCTTACATAGGACCCTTTTAAATTTATGTCTGGGTCGCAAGTCCCAGGTATTATTAAAACTCCTCTCCCTGCAACGCGATTGACCAGATACCAACACGGTGAATCCATGGAATGCTCAGAGGGTTCGTCACACTAAAACTTATGATTCATTACGTATCAAAAACTTATTACATGAGATGTATTTCTGTTTCTATGGGTTTCGTGTTATATTATATGTAGAACTCATAATATGTGAAATCTATATTTTACGAGTCCATATATAGAATTAAGCGAAATTAATCATTTTCAATCAAAGACCCAGTTTAGCTATATATACTTTTTAGTCACCATATGTTAAATATCTTTCTTTAAGAAATAATAAATATGAGAACTTAAGTTGTGTCCTTGCAATTCATTGCATGAACAATTGTATTACTTTGAATTTTTAATGAAATAAACAAATGGCATACGGATGATGGATAAAATACGGATTTTAGTTCCTAAAAATGTTCTATATTGTTCAATTGATGTATATGTCCGTATTAAAATATTTAAACATCTTTATTCTACATCAGCTCATCAAAGAATATCACCAAACGTAAGCTTCTTTTATACAAATCTACGAAGCATACTGAATAAGTCGAACCCAATAAATTAAAGCCTCAATTATACTTATATGTACGAATATATTCAGTCTGATTTAGACTATAGATACATTCTGATAATAGTTTAACTACATAGTTGAAAGTTTATCAATACATCTTTTAGTTACTTACTTAGTACTCTTAATTTATATGTATATTATCAAACAATTTATTATCTTTAGCGAAATATATGTACAATTGTATCATATAAAGAACTTTTCATAACATGTAATAATTCTGTGATATACGTGTGTTGTTAATTTAGACGAAAGTTATAAGAAATATGAGACGAGTCACGATTTGAGTGTGCGGCATTCTAATTAATAAAAAATCACTAGCCAAGATTAAAAGCTTATAAATATGTATGGTAATGAATTAATGAATTTTAATATGTACCGTTAGATAATAATCTGTATAAGAGTATTCAATAATGTTCTAATGAATTTAATCTGTAAGAGATTAATCCTACTAGGTTTCAACTTAATGTTTAAGAGTTCCTTTTACTTATTTGGATTTTATAACTAGATTTTTGTATATCGTTTTCAAACAAATTTTTGTGTGAATACGTTTGTACTACATAAAATGCTTATTCTAAATCTCTTTATATTTTAATACAATCTTACGTGAAAGTCCGTGGAAGTATTCAAGTAGATTTGTCACTTTTATTACAATATGTTTTATTGGTAAGTCATTAAATGCGTGAGGCGTCTTCGAGTCTGGAACGCATATTATTGAGGTCAGTGTCCACTGACCGTATTATGGCCCCTTGTTATCATACACGATGCGTTTGTCTATTATGCAGCACCGTTTAAGGTCATTAATTTCGAATTTTTTATAAGGCAGTTGCATTGAAAGGTATGTAACTCGGATACTCCGAATAGAAATGTTTATAAGTGAAAAATACTTCAGGAATGTTCTTTCGTTTAACTAATCAAATTTCATTTTGCTACTTTTACTACATATAATAGTAAGTACATATAAAAATTTCTATTCAAGTCCTGCGTTTGAGGTTAATTGATAATAACGGACGGAAGTACTTTTACAAGTGTAAGGACTGGATATATGATAAATGGTCACGTAAGTTGCAACCAGCTTGAAATATGAAACAAAGAAACTTTAAAGGAGCATTTTGAACGTTTGCCAATACAAGAAGTACAAAGTTGCCAAGCGTTCATTTGCGGAGAGTGCCCTTGTCTGACGAAATGCTCCCGATTCCTGAAGAGGATAGTTGTGACGCAGGAATTCGTCACCATCACGTACTATGTAATATGCTGTAATGAGTTTTAAATAGACGGAATAGTAATCATATTAGCTTGCTCGAATTAAATTGATATCACAATCCTTATTGGTAGTAAATCTTTGTATTACAATGGATTTTACATTTGCATTCATGTTGGTGCTCGTTTAATTCAAAGCACACTTTATTATAGAATGCGGTGACAGTTATTTCAGATGGGATCGAACGTTTCCAAGGAGTAACGGTGTCACTATTGTTACGGTGTTATGTTTACGTTGAGGAGACCATCTCATAATTTTCGACGGTCTTACAATGTGAAAATAAAAACATTTATGTCTAGATAAGTTGCGCGAGGCTGTGTAAAAGTGGTTGCGGTTTCAACTATATAAAAAACTGGGTGTAATGCAATCTAATCGCTTTTATTTTGTCTCATGCCAAGGTGGAACGTTACTGAACGTGCAGGCTTTTTTATTACACGAACTGTCACTGTACCCGTTTATAATTGATAGTAGGTAAGACTACTATTACGTACGTATTCGATTATGAGAAAACATATTGATGACCGAATCGAATATATAAATTCAATGATTAAAATTCAAGTATGAAATCATCACTAAATAAAATATTTATAGATTTTGATATCTCCATAAGGAAGACGCTTCCGGAATTCGTCATTGACTGGCGTCGGAAGTTACGACTATCTTTCTTGAAGGTTTAAATAATATCTTTAACAACAGATATAATGCCTATTAAATAGAATATAACATAATTCCCAGCTTCATAAGCTTTGATTATTTTTATTAGATATGTTTCTTTATATACCATTTTTTAATATTAATAGTCAACAGTGCAAGTTCAATTTACAGTCATCTGCTAACATAATTAATAACCCATATACCTACTAAATAAACGCCTGGTCGCCTTGAACTTTTTAATACTGGTTTATTGCTATTACGACCTTCGTCGTTCTTGTAGCTCTTATCTTGTTCTAAATAAATCTAAATGCAATGACTCAGTATTTTAAACGAAAAATTATTTGTGGATCCTTAGAAATTGTATTGAAAATACCCCGATCTCAGATAGGTGTGTAAATGAGGCGCTAAGAATTTTTACTATTTCAATTACTTCTAGTTCAGGAAGATTGGATTAAGATCAATGAACGATACTAGCCTTAAGTTTTAAATCGTTTAATCCACTATACAATTACGTTGGTATCGTGAGGATTTGATTGATCTCTGTATACATTCTTTTGTTGAGATTAAGTGGATCAGGCATTTATCTTCATCATTATATTGTTACAGTTCAACAGCATCATGTTCAATTTTATGAAGAAAACATCCGTTCTGACTAGCGACTCGGGAAGTTTCGAGGAGAGAGATGGCGATAAAGAACGTCGAAAAAAAGAGAAGAAGGAGAGAAAGGAGAGAGAGAAACGGGAGAGAATAGCAGCTGGGCTTGAAGAGCCTTTGAGATTAGAAGAGGTAAGGAATATCTAACATGATTCGGTACTTAGTTTTAGGCTTACATATAACAGTTTAGAAATACGAGTATGTCACAAAATTGTTTTAACATGTACATATCAATAATATCAACGTGAACTGAACAGATTTTAATGACCTCTGTACATTTAATATACATATGGTATAAAAACTACGAGCGAAACCATAAAAAAAACTTATATCTATCATGATAAAATAACATACTTACAAAAACTGTATTTATTATATTATATAATTTATTAAACCCATTGTGAGACAAACGTCTGGTCTAAAATTGCGTCTTCGTTGATGGGTTGAGATGATCCCCTGTGTCTGAATACCTAACATATAGTACTAGAAAATGATTTCAATTAATATAATGTTATTATGAAAATATTACGCAGAAGATCCGCTATGTATTCGTGATGCAAACGTATTATTCAATCGAATATAATTACGACCCAATTTTAATGTGCAAATGTATTTATGTATTCTAAATATTACAGAACGTACATATGTTTTCTTAATAATATAAATTTGATTCGCCATTGGTTCATACCGAGGAAGCCCTCAATACTAGTGTACTCATTTTGTAGGGGATTATTAATAGGGAAACCAAACAACTGTAGGTCTTTTGTTTTGATCGTTAATAGGAACTCACAATACAGCTTTCACTGTTTACTCGAAAATCCTCTATAAATATATGCGTACTTTGTCCGGTTGAGTCATTAAGTGTCAGGTGTTTCAAAAATATTTCGCCAATATATGTAGGTACAGTTATAAAGCCGTATTTATTTATCAACTGGTTTTTTTTTATTCGTATATATTTTAGGCCTACGACCGTTATAACTCGTTTGTATATTTATATCGTTTGTATAAATATGAAATAAATTATTAATATTATTTTGGGATGATCAATATGTTGAAGTCCCTTCTTCAGCCGTCTGATATCTCATTGCATAGCGATTCCATTGTATGAATAGTTGATAATGCATTCTAGTTTATCTTATCGTACACACAAGGAGTGTAATAACCGTTCTTATCTCCAGTAAGTACATTCGACCGTCGATTTTAATATCTACCATTTAGGAAAACTGTGTCATTGCTTCCGACTAGGGTTCAGAGCAATTGCATTTGTGGAGTACATAGTAATATTGCATTTGTGGAGTACCGACTAAGATTGTGTTAGTGGAGTAGGTATATACTAATATTGTACTTACGAAGTACATACTAGGATTGCATTTGTGGAGTATATACTCATATTGCATTTATAGAGTACATACTTAAATTGCATTTATGGATACTAATATAAGTCAACCCGCTTCATTGACAGCAATTCATTGCGACCTTTGATTTTCTATTTGATAGTAAAATATTGTCAAGGTTGGATTATTATTTATTTCGTGAAGATGAGATCTATAAATAAGTTGGCTGGTGTGTTAAAACTAAAAATATGTTTTATCGATTTTCCGTTTTTGGCCCTTTTATCGTCACACTGATATGGTTTTAAGAAAAATTAATTTTTCTAAAAATATATAAGCTATAGGTTAAAAATTTAATAATGCGCCTTATCCCGTCTCGGTTTATATAGCTTCGAGTTTTCTTCGATATTAGTTTTGGATTCCTGTCATTGAAGCGGAGACGGTATTGAGATGTTTTGTGGTGAATTGCGATATCTCACGAGCCGACGCAATAGCTGAGATGACATTCTGCCGATCCCAAGGATAGTGAGACCTGAACGAACTAATGGATTTATTTTGTATATAATTCAATATTTATTTATTAACGTCATTATTGATTCAGTTTGACTGAGAATGTAGACGGATTTTATATTTTTATATAAAAAGAAGTAAAGTCTTTTATTTTAAATCTTCATTGCCAATCAATTTAGCCTCATCAATATTTATCACAAACAGTACATATTTACTTGAATACGTAAAATAGAATGCAACTATAAACCATAAATTAAAATGTACATTATAACATGGTTCTTAATTTGAAATTGAATACGAATGAAAACTTTTTATACTAATATATTGTTGAATGTTAAAATAAGTAAACCTTCGACCAGACATCACGTTCTCCTATAGCATGTAGAATTTGTATTTTACTCTCAGTTAGTCTAAAATTATGTTATATTTAAAACAAGCGCGCTTTTAAAATAAACAAACATTCATTCATTGAGCTAGTTACTTTGTAATATGAATTTAGAACGCAACGAAAATGCGTATACATTTTTGATAGGGGATCTCTTCCGGAGTTTTAATGACTCTCATTGAAACAGTGTACGATTTCACCGGATACGAAACGAAATTAACATTTAGGTATACGGTCGGCGTTAGACAATTCGGTGCAAAGGTTGCAGCCGAGTTCTCACAAGAATGTGGAACGTTAATCTCATGTCTCTTTATACTTGGTGGTATATACATGGAGGTTTAAAATGATTCAACCTTATTTTTATCATCTACAATGCTGTATCATTTGGACATGTTTCGAATTTTTTTCTTTTTTCAAATTCAAAAATTTTGCAATGCAAAAATTTCTGTGATAATGGAATATTCGGAAATATTTTTTTTTCATTTTAATTTACAAAATTGGTGGTTTCGCAATTCACTTATATACAAACTCGAACAATAGTTCTCTATTACTAAATAGATATATCATTGTTTCAATGGTTTGCTTAAAGCACGTATTAAATTGATTTGTAATACGATTGTAGTTCATTCTAAGAGTGAATTGAGATTGATTGAGGACGCTCCATAGTAATGTTTATCCTTATTGTTAATAGGTACAATATGTATTTACTAAACAACACGATCTCATATAAACATATGAATAATTATTGTTTAATTACCAAAATTGTTTCTGTTGTATATAATAGTAAAAGAAATAATATTAAACATGTTACTATTTGTATTTGACATAAGGTTCTAATTGTCCCGCTTTTTTAAGGGTTTTCTAAAACGGTATTTTCATTGCTTTATATGATTCTGCCACGTAATTTTCTTAGTATCTTTGGTACAGCTTTCATTTAATTTTAAATATAGGTCTCGATTCTTTCACCTCCTTCAGTCACTATTACTTTGTATTTCATTTTGGTAATTGTACCATATTTTATACATATCTTTTATGTTTTCTCGTTTGGTTTTAAATGAATTTCAGTGATTCCTATTCATTTTGTTTCCCCACTTTCTAGTGATGTGTGTATTTTTTGTCCTAAAAACTTTGTGGGGCATCTTTGTTTCTATTAAATATTATCTTCTCATCAATAGGTTTAACCGAGTTTTTCATTGACATTTGGTTTTCCTATTATGATATTATTTCTACTTTTTGTCGTTAAACATGTATATCGGTTTCATTTTCCATACTAGAAGTATATTAGTGAGTTTTCACGTTTTCTTATTATTATCATAATTTTATAAGATATAATTATTACACGGATACTTATTTAAAATAGCCTATTTCATATGTATTTTATTGATTAATCAATAATACTTAAAACTTTTATTAGATGTTCTACAAACAAAACAACTAGGTGACACATTCTAATAGTATGGCATTTTCTTCTTGCATCGTCACGTCAATGTTTTCCCGTTTCTCATACAATATGCACTGTGAATACTAAAATATGCGAAGATTTACAAATGAAAAAACTGTTCACACATCGGAGATGCAACTCTTAGAGTGTAACACGTGCTTCAATCCCAAATTATGATACTGTTTTTAAGTGATTTTTTTGTCCATAAATTGATATTGATTAATATGAAACCACGAAAGAATCAATTCATTATTTCACGTTACGAATTCAATGTAAGTTATTTGTAATTTGACGTTCACTGTTTGCATCTCATGAAATTTCATACTAAGCTCAAAATTATATCTGCAGAGATGTTTCTATCGTTTTGATCATACGATAATGTCATAACAAAGCCTTCGATTTGTGTCTGTTATTTGATAGGGCGTTTCAATTATAAAGTATTTATTTATAACATAGGTTAATAGTTTATTTTAAAGCGTCTTAGTGAAGATTGTCATAGAAGGATATCTATGCAAAACCGGCTTCAATCATCTGATGCACTTTCCTCAGTGTCTTGTGGTCGTCTTCTTTGTAATTCTAGTTTTTGCTATTCGTCTAGACGAGTTTCTATACCGATCCTTATACTGTTATGTATATAAATGCATGAAATCGAGAGTAGAATTTAATTCTAAGTGTGTAAATTTACCGCTTTTGGTACAAGTATCTAATGAGCCAAATATTTCTAATATTTGGCTCATTATATCAATGATAAGCCGACAAATACTTTATGGTTTGTTATATATAGCATGTTACATATACATAGACTGTTATAATACGTTGATAGTTAATATTATATATAAATAAACAACGATAATGTATATTATTTTTATATTTGTATTTCTTCAACAGGTCCGAAGATCGTTGAAATTAAGAGGACGTCGCAAGGAAAAGGAAAAGTTACCGTCTGGTATTACAGCCGACTACACCGCATCGCTTTTCGCTCATCTCGAAAAAGATACCAACTATACAAATTATACGGTCATCTCGAATTCAGGTTCCAATTCGAACCTCAGTGACGAAAACAATCATCTCTCTCCGGGATACCCGAACCATAATTGGAATAAGAAAGAAGGCGTGCTGCAATCTGATAGTTCAGAGACGTCTCTAAATTCGTTAAACAATCCGAATAATGTAAACAGCAGCCCTAGACAGGCACCGAACTTACCACCCATACCACCGCGTCCACCGAAACGGGGAATCCTGAAGGGACCACGTCTCAGCAACACCAGCTCCGTCTCCCAAGAAAGCAATGTACAAAACGTCGATACGGTCGACTATATGAATGGACAGGATCCAAATCTTCTAGCACGGAACACTCAACAAAACGAACTCATCTCGTACGCCATCCAACCATCTAAGAGCACATCCTCTAGCGATGATATGCAACAGATACAGAATTTTACCAAAAAAGTCATTCACAGTCCCGTCGAGAATCAATACAAGAATTATAAGAACAATTCCAATCCGTCGATCCGAACCCACGATGTGGACGAAGCGCCGAAGACGAACGGGAACAGTTATCACGGTGTGACATCTACTTCACCGAGTGCTGATTCATTAACTGATACAACGACGAACTCTTCGTTCGCTACTCCTCCATTTTCGACGTCCCCAGTTGGTGAATCTCAAGGTTTCCACAGATGGTCTAGAACAAGTACCTTCGACGATGTCTACTTGCCTCTGCCGTCTTTGTCTCCACTGCATTTACCCAAGCCGAGACTGTTAACCATCCAACGTCAAAAGGCACCTCGTAATGATTTCGGGTTTAGTCTTCGCAGAGCTATGATTCAGGAGAGAGTCTTCATTGGAGATATAAGAACTCTCGCTGGTCACGAAGAGAAGGCCATAGCCAATGGTGATAATAAATACAATGATAGTAACGTAGTTATCAGCAAGCTGACGTATAAAGCTGTGATACTCGCTGAACCCGGCTCCTACCCGGGGGCCAGTGAGACCGGCTTGTTACCAGGAGATAGACTCATCGAAGTCAATGATGTTAATGTGGAAGGGAGGAGTAGGGAAGAAGTGATCGATCTGATTAAAAGTAGCCAGGAGTTTGTTACGGTTAAGGTTTGTATATTTTTTTATAAACGGGTTCATTACAATGTCCCTAGATTCGATTCCGATTGCGAAATTTTTATACGTCACTCCAAGGTATATGAATCTACTTATTCAGATTATTATGGGAACCTAGTTATCGAAAATAACTTTGCATAAAATTATTCATATATTTTGTTCCCTCTGTGATATTATTCGTCTGTAATAGGTGCAACCTATAGCTGAGCTATGCGAACTATCGAGCCGCAGGGCTGCGGACGGCGGGGCGCAAGTTGAGTTATCAGAGAGCAATGTTAGAGGTGGAACGCTCAGTAGATCCGGCAGTCGAAGATTCACAAGCACACAGGTTAGTTACAACACAGAGAACTCTGATACTATACGAATATTTCATATATAAATTGATGGATTGATTATAATGATTCGTCACAAATAAATTGCTTCTCTCCATATAGTAATGTACATCGTATATATGCATTGCATGTTGATCGCTGTTTTGTATTGCGAGATACGCCCAATATAAGGTTGCATCTATGTTTACATCAAATTGATTACTGATGGTATCGACTGTCGAGTGATGTATTGCAAGCGAATGATTTATAACATGATACTTTTATATGAAACAACTTCAAGTTTCAACGTATATAAAAAATTTATGTATTCATTTCGAATATATTTTTTTGAATTTGGAATACTTTGATGAGTTTTCCATCAACACAGGCTGAATACCTGTAAACACTGGCCAATCAGTAATTAAAAAAAAAAAAACAAATTAATAATAAATTTTTATATGTAACCTTCATGTGATATTGTTATGAAAGGCGATCATTTCAAACGATCTACTTCATAGTTGATACATTACATCAACGTACACCGCAAGCTTGACCAATATTATGAGATCGCGTATGACGGCGGGCATACCGTTGCATTGCAGTACCTTATATATAATATATATTTTTTTGGGTCGCATAAAAGGCTAATACAAAAAACAGATAATATACATAACATATTTAACTGTTCTATCAATTATGTGTTTCGTCAAAGTTGTTTGTTTTGTTTTTTAGATGATTTCCTTATGAATATGTGCAAATGCGGTGATTAGAAAGTGTTGATTACAATTCGTCCTATATAACAAGTAATACGACCGCAACCCGTAAGACAATCTATTCTCATTCTATCGTGCGTAACGCTCTTATATGATATATATATACCTGGTATTAGGTCAATGTTTATTTACTTTGCATATTAAGTATATAAAAAATTATTTAAAAAATTTAAGGACAGTTTTATTGCCTTTCACTTTGTCAGTGACCCGGATTGTTGAATGTTGGATAAAATCCTTTTATACGTATTTTTTTTTAACGAAAAATTTGATGAGATTCGTCATTTCGTTGTCCATATATTCAACATTTTCTATTAACAATTCTTTCGTAGTTCAGATTTTGTTACCAAATTTGATTCATACTTTGATAAGGAATAAAAATATCTCAGGCAAAGAAATGTAAAATCATGTAACATATTAAATCCGTTAAGATTTATCTTAAGGTGTTTGGGCAATTTTTGGTAGAAATTGAAGTTAGCTGGACCAAGACGCCTCGGGCGATAATTATCCTACCCCAAAAACGTCCGCAATAATAAAAAGTAATTGAAATCACAAGTCGACTTTCGCAGCCCTAATCCTATTTAGTTGATTACATTGGCAAAGACAAACAAAAGACATTAATAATAACAAATGACGTTAATAATTTTGGTAATAAAATTTTCAATCAAATCATGGAGTGCATTAACGATAATATATAAAAGATAGTCAATCAGCTATTAAGTCAAGTTATACGTCTCTTAAAGATATTTAAAAGCTCCTTTGGATTGAATAAAAAGAAATAAGTAAAATTTTTACCAGTTAGCACTGTTTTGGGAGTAATAGAGCTTTAAAAATATAGGTATAAAATCCGCTTAGTTCGTTATCATATATATAGTTATATGGAGACTTGTGGTTGTTTAAGCCTTACCTTTAAGTCTTTGTAAGACCTATTTGTGTAGCATCATCAACTGATGAACATAAAACATTGTCCTTGTCTAACTGTTGGGGTGTGTATTTCAAATATTTCTATGGAGGTAAACAAAACAAGCCGTTTTCATAGTGTATTCTTAACTGTAAGCGTATCCCGACACAATTCTCTATTTCCGGTCGAGTACCTTGTTAGCTGACACTAGAAATTCTGCGTGCGTTAGGCTCCATTCAAACATACTGGGGTTGGAACACTTAAATACACTCCTAAGTTATTTTGAGCCTTAAGCTATATACAACCTTCGATGTATAATTGAACCGTATTTTAAAACCAATACTTCTTTCCAATAAGGACTATATTTGATTGTACGATATTAAAATTCTCATTCCTTAAAAGTTAAGTCTTTTATGTTTGCACTGTGTATGAAGGGAAAAGTGTGCGATATGAGTATTATGAAGAATATTTTCGATATATTAAATTTAATGCGAAACAATGTTTAGCTCAGTAACCGGTCCGTTGGTCAGGAATTGCGGGCGGGCCGTTAGTTTTCTTTATAACTACAATATTAAAAAAAACCGTTGCTTCAATGCAAAGCTGTGTTTGAGAGACGACCGCGCATGTACTTAATGAATTAATTAGCCAATAGAAATGTATGTAGAACGTATATATTACTAGGATTTTTATTCCATGAAAGGTACTGAAAGATAAAAAGCAAGTGGCCGTTTTTTTCTTTAATATATTTTTTTTGCTATAGGTATTTATATTTTGTATTAACTATCGCGTTATTAGCTTTTGTTTCAATATAGTATCCTACATACGTCCATAAATGTACGTTTAAATAGTGATGTTATTGTAATTAGTGTACAATAATACTATCTTCTTTTCCGAAACAGTTTATTTTTATAGATTGCTTCGTCGGTATCATTTAAAAAGGCACATTTAACACGTTTAAATGTAAGAAATAGCGGCGAAACTAAATTGTTATTAAACGAGTCGGAAAGGTTGTCTAGACGCCCCTCCTTCTAAATAAGCATCCCCGTGAAATAGGGTTGCCCTCACAAATTGATCGCGACTGTTTCGTATGTTAAGAAAACTCTCGGAATAAGTATAGATGTCTTTATCACACTAGTAATACGAATACATATACACGTATATTTGAAGAGACATGAATTTTACTTGATTTTTTTTGGATTAAAAAAATTCCAATTATATCCAGAAACAAAATGATGTCAGCCCTAAGATTAATTTAATATCTTCAGCACGGAATTGAATCTTGATTTGATTGGGCGTATCAATTTAAAGAGATATTGCCAATTTACATAAATATTCAAAAACAGAACCTACAACCGTTAATTTTTTAATAAATATTTATTTCTCAACTTAATAATTTTATTTTTATATGTGTACTTCAGTAACAGTAACATTAATACATAATTTTATTGCTTCAAATAAAATATATCCAAGGTAAACAATGATTTGCAGAACGTATGTACGAAGGTTAACACAATAGCCAATAATCTTTTTACTTGCTTATTAAAATCGGAGGCTAATCGCAAAAAAAACTATTATAATTAGTCCTTCAATCTGCAAATAAGGTTTCACAGTTCTTAAGTGGATATTGTTGATGCATTTATCTCATTTCAGTTCTTATATTAAATATGCCAAAGCGAATGTGTTTATTTTACAACCCTACATAATAAGGCGAAATTTAGAAAAAAGTCACCAATTTTTGCTTGTATTCTTTTTTGTTTTGCTTAAATCACCTAAATAAATTTATTGTGCATGATAGATACAGTGAATCATGGAAACTTCTAATATGTATTGAAGGCTTGTTATGTATGGGAAGTTTTGATTGCAAGAAAAACAAACAAAAAGTTCATACAATAGGCCAAGCATAGTAAAATGTTATTCAAATTCATATAATAATATTATTTAACGATGTCCTCATTACGATATGTTCGTTTGTTTTATTATATGTAATATTAAATATCAAATAGACATAGATAGGTATCATACATGTCTTTACAAATGCTGACAATTTATGACTACTAGCGCCACACAGTGTGTGTGAAACAAACTACAGTGGAGAATCAATAGGTAATTGGTACTTGACATCAGTTCATAGGAATCAAAACAGATTTGTATATTTTGTCAATGTAGTAATTAAGAATATTAATTTTAATATAATATCAATTAAAAATGAAAAGACATGTAAAATTATCTAGTATATAAAAATGATTAGTATCTCAATCTCAGTCAGTACATATGAAATAACATTTCAAAATGTCATGACAAAGACATGATGTAAACACAGTCGCTGATTATGTATTTAATATATATGTACATTTGATTCATATTGTTGATAATATTTGATTACTGAGAATACTTAATCTTCAATCTAGTGCAAGTGCATTCATTTGGAATATAAATATTTTATACAAGAGATAATTAAGACACAAAAATCTTTATATAGTCTGTTTATTTATAAACAGTATGTACTTTTAACATAAATCAATATATATTTACATTTATTATATACAATAATTATTATGTTGTTCAATTCAATTCAATAACAATACATTACATTTAAGTTTTGTGGCAGTTATGATGAGATCTTTGGTTTAATGAATTCATCGACGGTTTCATTTTAAAAATCATGTACAATGTGTCCAATTATTGATCAATTGTATTTCATCTATTAAGTAATCATACAAGCAATATCTCAACATAAAGTTTACATACTATGTATGATAAATTGTACCACAAATAAATTATACAAATACTTAACTATTCTGCATGTTCTTATCGAAACTCTGCATTTCATATTTTGCTATTACATTACACACTTCCATTTTCACTTTTGGAATTAAATTTGGTTGTAGTTTCTTAACGCTAGCCGCCATACTTCTGAAGAATACGTCTATTTCATTTGTATTCTCTTTCAATATCTTCTCAATAAGTTTATCAATGACTTGCGATCTTTGCTCTGGCGTTTTTGGATCCTCGACACATTTTATTATCCTAGGTTCGTTCATTACAATCGGTTTTGGTAATATTTTAATAGGTGGAATATTTCTTGGAATCGGCACTGACTTTTTCCTGCCAGCATTCTTTCTTCCAATTTTTTTTGGTGGTTCGCCAATTTGGTTGTTTCCTTCTAGTTTAATTTTCTTTGGGACAATTTTTATAATTTGTGGTTTAGTATCTGTTTCTTGCAAAGGATTATCAACAAGCGTTATCTGAAATGTACAATGAAAGCGAGCATAAATATTTTACATAATTTAAATTTATAACAAACATAACTTTTAATTTTTGATATATATAGTAAATTAGAAATTTACATACTTCATAATATTCCTGATTATCTGTTATGACCTGTTGCTCGGCAGCTACTTGTTCTTCTAATATTTGACTCTCCGAGGTATCCTCATCGAATATTTCTCTAGTTTCCAATGTGTTGTTTTCTATTTGCAAACTATCAAGGGGCATGCCGTCTAAAAATTTCAGTTTTTCAAATATGGGTAATTTAGATTTATGTATTGATCCCATGCGCTTGTTTCTTGTGTATCCATCACGGAGACCCCTCCATCGTTTCTTACATTCCTCAACTGTAATGATTTAATTTTACTATAGCAATATATTTATATAATTTTATTAAAGCATATATATTGTCTTGTTTGTGAAATTTTGTTAAAGATGATGCCTATGAACCTAGGCTTTACAACCTACGTCTATCCGAAAAGAGTAACCTATTCTATGTTTTATTTGGTTCCTATTCTTTTAAGATTTACACCAAAGATCGTCGAAAACATATAATGCAATCATTTTAAATTCCAACGGAACGACATCTCACTGAACAATTTGACAAACATGTTTTGTTTTAAAAACACGTCATCTCTAACTACAACAATCGTTAATTATTTTTACAGAGATAAATACCTTTTAAATAACAACGAATAAGATTTTTTTAAAATATATTCTATTAATTTCACCTGGTTTTAAAATTTCCGTAGCAATTTCTTGCCAGGTTCTCTCCCGAGTGAGTATATTCTTTCGGGAAGGATCCAACCAGCAATACAAATGTCCGTGGGGTTGCACTAATTCAATTAGTTTTTCGTCTTCTTCAGTTGTCCATCCTATAGCGTTCAATGGCATTTTAAAAGGCCCTACTTACATTCACCGTTCTCTTGCGTCACAAAATCAAAACAAAATGTCTACCACCTATCACGAACGAAAATAGTCGCGCTGCGCAGCACGACGTCACAAAGTACAGTTGGCCATTGTTATGAGTTCGTTGGTTTTATTTTAATCTGCTCTCTCATTGGCCAGTGTTCCCATTTGACATTTACTAACAGACTACAGTGCTGCCAACTATGATAACGTAAAGAAACCTTTTCTAGTGCAGTTGAAGGCGTGTTGCTACTTTCCGATAGATGTCTCTGTATATACTAATCGCGCCCTCTAGTGTTTTGTAGTAAAATTAGACGGTAAATATTTCGTTCACTATTCCGGTAATCTGTAAATTTAGGTTCAAGTTTGAGCAATAGATGATATTGTTCATTCAATGGCGCTATTTCCATATAGTTTAATTTTTTATATCACTTAAATCTATTCGTAGGTTTGAATGTGTTCTGATAAGATTTTGTTATCTTTAAAAAAGTAAATAGAGCCAAAGAAACAAATTCTGTCGTATCTTTCAGTACGATAGTGTTATTTGTTCAGTATTACTTAAAGGCTATTTATTATCTGCCTCTCAGTATAAACATTAACTATACTCTCTCTTCGAATGTTTTGCTTCGTTAAAATAATTTAAAAATATTGAAGCCTTAATGATTTCAAAATTAAATTGCGGGTTATATCTGTTGCATTTCCTACTAATTAGGGCAAAGATTGATGCGTCGGTAGCATCCCTTTGAAGTTATCTCGAATGTAGTTTTAAAATAATTCACGTTAAACGATACATTATGTTCGGAATAAATCTTCATTACTTTATATATCTAAGATAAGGAGGATACTTTAGTACAAATGTATTACAACATAATGATATTATTGCTTTCCTGTTTTTAGTTCTGACCTTAAAGTCGTTCATATAATATTTAAATAAACATTCATACATTTCCCTTCACTACAATGTATTTTAAAGTTACGTTAAATTCTAAGTAAGTACATTAAATAAACCGTGGTAAGGGCAATTTTCATACAATTTAAACATTAACATACTAAAACAATTAACGTCTATCAAACGATATCGCCAGCTTTGTACAGTTTACAACTCGACTACTGACAGTTTAATCGCACAAAACGGCAATTGTTACGAATTGTACACAATTATTCTATTAAATTTAAAGTCTTTGTATTGAAATGTTTATGTATTTTTTTAAATTGTATTGCAAGACTTGATAGAACGTGTTTCATATGAATATGTAAAGTAAATTTGAAATGAATATTTTTTTATATTGTTTTTAAATTTGTGTCGTCAAAAATTTTGTTCCATATTTGAAAATGCGGAGATGAGTGAAAGAGATAAAAGATGGAATTGGAAATAGAAGATTAAAGTAAGAGTGAAAGAGAGGGAAAGTGCATGAGTTTTATATACAAAATACAACTGGTGACCATTTTATTAGTGAATCTTTGTGTAGGTACATATGTTGCTATTATTTCGTCTAATACGTCAATGGTTCTAATACGTTCGTGGTTCGAAATACGAAATGTATATAGAGGGTAGTCGTTAATTTTCTTGAATTTATTTATGATAAATGCATTGTAATTTTAATCAAAGATTGTCGTCAAACATATTTATATCTCTGTATTAAAATTTAAATTCTTTTTTTTTTTTTGCTCCATGTGCATTATATCATGATTAAATTCTAATCATATTTTCAAAACGTTGTAGTGAATTTGAAAAAATAAAAAGATATTACTTTTGTAATATTAATTTAAATGATATTCGTAAAAGCATCAGCATTCCCGTATAAGAAAATCAAAACAAGCAGTAAACACAATGCTAACTCGCTAAGCAGTTCAAAACGACACCGCGGTCTAAGCGCACGCGCACGCCGACCGAGCGCTGTGTACGAAACACTATACGAAGGTGACACAGTGAGTTTAAAATATTTTTCAAAACCGGCCTGAAGATCTGACAGTTTCATAAATACAAAGAAAACATTAATTAATTTAATGAAATATTTAAATATATTAATTATATATTATAAAATTTTAACATTATGTTTACAACATGTTCTTAAAGTAATCGTAACAAATCATTGATATGGAACGAATTGAACACAATTTATACCGACTAGTTAGCATTATAAACAGGAAAGTCGTATATTCTATGAATCTAACATATAATATAACATTTTTCACGTACAAAAATAATATTCGAAAATTTTTAACATAGTCTTATCATTATTATCTAATGACCGCGTCATATAACTAGAGAAATTACGTAAAACAAACAATGTGATAATTCATCTCAGTCTAGACTAGAAGAGAATTCTTTTATATATTTTAAATAATTAAAACGTAGGTATAATGAACGTATTTGTATCTATAAAAGGAATTGGAATTAAGTGTACTATTTTAGTATCGGAGTGGACGCGAGATGTCTTCGGAACGTGTCTGAAGACGGTAATGCCGTATTAATATAGTTGAATACTTTTATAACTCCAATGGCATGCCATTCAACGGCATCCATGGCATTAATGTTCAACTTAATGATGGAATAAAACATTTGTATGGTGTACATTTAAATATGTTGCATTAATTTCATTATATTTTGTATTGTGATACATGATGGTGGTTGAATTTATTTTGTTAAGTTGTAGAATCATTCGTTTCTTGGGTCAAGATCTAGGTGAGGTCTTCGTGAATAAAAAATATTTTTTTTTCTATACAATAAATCAAATAAAAATTCGATAATATGTATACAAAAAAGTATAATGACGATTGTTTTTAATTAATTTAATGTTTGGGTTATCTTTTGTGATTTTTATGCAAGCATTATTGGAAACAATATTTCTATCTGACGGAATTTCGTACGGAGTTAGTGCTGTTGCTGTCGATAATTCACCTTTGTCGATAAATTCGTATCTAAATGCGCTAACTATTTCTATTTGTCTAAAATTTCCCCGCACTCGTCCCCATCCCACGCGTCTCAAACTGGTATCGCGTGCCTTATATTTTAACTGTCCACTGTTCGCTGCTGATTTTAATTCAATGTTCAAATAATTATAAATATCTTTTTAACTTAGAAAGTTCGCGTTTCGCTTTTAACTTATTTACGCTTTTTTATTTATGTGAAATTAAAATTATTAATTTTCGTATAGTTACATGGTAAATGCTTGACTAATGTTGGACAGTGAAATCGTCTCCAGTTGATGAGTAACAAATTTTTATATTAGTGAAATAGCCGTGAAGTGTACTTGTGAGGTGGGCGTCGCGAAGGCGGCATTGTTTTCACTTTTCGTAAATTTCGATTTTATTATATTTTATATCTGTCTCCTACATGATTTCCTTGGATTCACCGGTGTCTAAACTCTATGTAATATATATATATATATATATATATATATATATATATATATATATATATATATATATATATATATCTCTCATTCTTCTTCTTCTTCTACCTGTCAATTTCCCAGCTATAGCCAGGGTCTGCCTTACATGCTGTGAATAGTTTTGGCTAATTGTTTTTACGACCGGCCGCCTTCCTGACATCAACCCTCTTTGGAAATGATGTCTAAATACTCTTAGAAAGTACATATGACTCGAAATAATCACATTGGTACTTGCCAGGGCCAGGATCGAACCCGCGCCCTCATGCATGAGAGGCGGGCCTTTTAACCACTAGGCGACCACTTACTTTATATATCTCATTATTTATATTTATTCTCCGTTATAGGACTTATCTTATTGCTAAAATGTTATACCTTAATCATGAGATATTTCAATTCGTAATACTATTAGTTTAAACGTTTTGTTTTAGATCGTGAATTCTTAATAACTATATTAACTGCGTTTAAAATCAACGACTGCGTCAAGTAAATTCGAATTTAGTAGACGTATAATAATCACATAAATTGTCACATAGTTCAAATTGTAATAACTATGAATTGTAGATATATTTGACAGAGATTTATCTTATTATTGTTCCTCATTCTTTAAATTTGAATTATCAATAATATGAATGCGTATTTTTTTTATTAATTTGAATATTAAATATTTATCGCTCGAGATCTTTACTATCTTGATAGTAATTTGTCTCAATTGATAGCAATATAAAGTAGAATTTAAATTAATGAAATAGATTTTTTACTCAGTAACGTATGGACTCTTTATCATTTAAACAGAAATGTTTTGTTTAATCGCAGAATATCTCATGAAAATTCTAGAAGTTTGTATCTATGTAAGTTTTCAATATATGGACCTATTATGTTTAGTTTTAATTTTGATGCAAAACGAGTTATTGAATAATGTTATCTGACATTGTTCTTTTAAGTATTTTGTTGTCCACATCACGATCTGTCAAATGCTAATTGCTGTCATTTGTATGCCCCACAGTGTGTTGTATTGTTCTTGGGACACGATAGCAACATCTGTTATTCGTTAACCTGTTGATTTCAATACGTATGCACTTTTGTTCTATCATATGTTTACTTTTAAGAGATAAGATACTCATTATCTTCGTAGACACAACTAGCTATTGTCCGCGACCTTGCTTGGTTTTCGTTTCACGAAGGTTTTGTTCGTCTCCGCGAATCGAAAATCATTTAAGGCATTTGTTATTTCAATATTATATATCAAATATATATTTATTCTTAGTAGAAAGAAATATAAGTTTTGTAAGAAATACGCATAAATTATTTGTAATTTATAATACTGAATACAAAACAATAAAAACTTATAACTCTAAAATGAACTTGCTTAGGAACGGGTAAAATTTCTCTGATTAAATAATTTGTGTACCTACCCTCAAACTAAAAGCAAGTTTAAAAAAATAACCGAAAAACATATCTTTAAGGAAAACTCACTAAGCACTTTAAAAAAAAATTGTTCTATATTTTCAAAGTTAGCCCAAATTATACCTTACTAGCTTTCCGCCCGCAGCTTCGCCCGCGTGGAGTTCGGTTATATCACGTTTCCAAGAGAACCTTTCAAAAGTCTGGGATGAAAACTATCCTATGTTCTTTCTCAAGGTCAACTCCATCTCTGTACCAAATTTCATTAAAATCAGTTCAGTGGTTTAGACGTGAAAGCGTAACAGACAGACAGACAGAGTTACTTTCGCATTTAATATAATATGAGAAAGGCATAAAGTAGAAATGATTTAAATAAATTTGACAAAGGTATTAACTTATTAATATTTTAACACTTTTCTTATTTCTTGATAATATTCTAATGAAAAACGTCAAATAGAATGTTACTGATCATTGGTTTTGACCGAAATATTAGCTAGAGGTAAAGTATATCGAGTTATTAAAACCATCATCGTAAAATATCCTTCTGACTAATATGATGCGGTAATAAAAGAAATGTATAAATATTTATTGCTCGTATGATGACGAACATGGAGATAAATCGTCACTTACAGATTAAGAAGCTTCTAACTTAACATGTGAATTAACTACCAGCAGTCATAAAGCAGAGTGCATATAAATATAGACCTGCATCCGTATGTCCGTATTTTATTTTATTTAACTGAACACGTAATTTAGACGTATTCTCGCCCTTAGAAGTATATGTAAACAACAGTGTAGACTTTACTGAACAATCATATATACTTAAAACGAAAGTTACCATGATTGATATAGTTAATATCTATGTATATACAATAAGAAACAATATATAAATTAAAAAATATATATGTATGTATCTGCCGGTGTCGCAGAATGTCTAACTCCCAATATAAAAGGAAGCATATGAATATCTTTAAAATAAACCCAGCGTTCCTGGTTTCCGAGTATTAAAACCAAAACGTATAACTCACTCCCCCTACTCGACTCGTTAATTGACTTGTGTTTGCTTATTTGCTGGCTATTTAAATGACGACGACAGCGATGCGACATGATTTAATTTTAAACGGTCCACTTAAATTCTTCGTTATAAACAGCGTTTATAAACTTAATGTAACAAATTCTTACTATTATAATTCGATTAATTATAATTCTTCTTCTGCATCTTCAAAAAGCCGCTTATATCGTGATAAATTCGTTTGTATTGATACTCATTTATGGTATTAATAGTTAGTAATTTTAGTGGAAAATTGTATAGGTAAAGTCGTATGGTCGTGTCGTATTATTGCCTTCTAAATATATTAAACTTATCGTATTAAATGTGCAGTCTGAGAACATATAATATCAGTGAAACGGTGATGTGTTTTTATATGTTATGATAACTACTTAATTAATAGTTTCCGATGTCATTATAATTTAATTCTATGTCATCTGTGTGTGTGTGTGTGGTAGTAATTCTCTGAAATTACCAACAGTTTCACAATCTCTAATACATGATTTGTAGTAAAGAAAATGGTTTATATGCTTTCAATTTACACAGTATAGTGACTTCTCAATAATAAAAAAAAATCTCATTTACTATATTGCCTTACTGCTTTTTCAGTCGCTTTAAAATAAGTTTCGCGAGTCTCCATGAAAGTCCTTTGTCACAAGATTAATTGTATTCTTATAATATATGTATTATTCTGATATTTACAATATAATTTTCTTGTACAAATAGTTTAAAGTTTTACAAAATGTTCAAACCAGTTTCCATCAAACATTAAACGTCGTATCAAAAACAGGTTAAAAATGTTATACGCTCATTTAAGAATTCAAATTTATGACATTTGGAAAAATACTTTATACATTTTAAAATACATCACTAGCATTAGAGATAAACGGATTAAGAAAATTTAAAGCCCGATAAAAGAGTTATGCCTACTCTCGAATTACACGTAAAAGTTTGAAATAAAATGATAAGAGAATTGACTTCATTTCTGTTTATTATATTGTTATATTTGTCTATGGAGTTTATTCTTAGTCCTATAGGTTACTTGGAGTTTCATCACAACAGGATAATGTCTGAAGATAAGTGTTTAGTTGAAAGTTAGTCACGATTGATTAGGACAGCTGTTGACTGACTGGTAGTTGTGTGTTGCAAAATTAATAACTAGAAATACTTAGGTACACTTCAAGAGACTGTACAGTGTACGTCTTGCAAGAAAATAGGAAAGCGTGCGATTGAAAAGATCATTACTCTCATATAATATGATCATTAAAAAAAACTTAATTCGAAGAGTTGATAGCTAAAATATAATTTAATTTGATAATTATCAATGGTCATGTTAATGTAAGGTTGTTCGAACATACCGCCAGGGAGTCATTGTGCAATTACAATTTCAATATTATCGAATAGGTGGGATCTGTGTCGTTACACAAATTTGCATTCGATGTTGACCAATGTTTCTTGTATTTAGGCTATATTTACACATACGGACAATCTATCAAGCGATTTTAAACTATACGCTGTAGGTATTGAGGTTTATTTAAAGTGATATTCGTTTGTTTTCATTTTTGCCTCCTAAAGGTTTTAAACTGTGGGAAGATGAGGTTTCTTGTTCAAACAAAGTTTAGATGAAAGACATCGAGAATCATTAGAAAGAAATATGATTGTTATTTTGTTATTATTGCTCTCGACTTCATTGATATCGTTTATAAAATATATCGTATGAAATATAAAGCAAAGAAGCCTCATTCCCACGATAAGGTGTGAATAAGAGCTGATAACGATAGTCAAAATATTGACGCACTGATAACTGAACTAACAGGGACTTCATGTAGGCGAGCGGCTTTAGAAAGTGGGTATCGAAATGTATAAAGTAGATTATAGAAATCACTTATCTTATTACTAGTCTTCAAATGAATTGGTGTATCTTGCAAATCTCGTTGCAAATGTACTTCAAATATAGAACGATACTTATCAAATCACCTTATAATCTTAAAACATAAATCATACTTGTCATCTTTGTGTCACTTATATGGAAACTTTAAGATCGATTTTCGGAATGCTCGAAACTAGAATGAGTTTGATCTGTGATAAATTATTGCGATTGGGGTCTAGTCGACATGTTCTATATTATAAGAATATAGATGTGTCTTGCATAATATCTATGACATGACAATACAAACCAGAATACAAGAAGGCACTATTGCGGAGGTAGACATTTAGTCACCGTAAGCCGACGTTGACACAAATTACTATGAATATTTAATATGCAATTAAAGTTCAATGCGTCGACCGCATAGCGGCTCGTTTATATCACCAGATGATAACTCCGTGGACATTTGAATGCAATAATTTGTTTTATTTGTTAATGTTAATATTGTGTCAACGGATTTGTTTGCATAACATTAAATATTTAGATTTGTGTTATGGGAGTTTAGTTTTCATAATTGGTGAGGTATTTGTTAGTTTGCAGTATTGTATGAGCTAATTGATTGAGGCTAAAGATATATTGATGTATTAGCGTGAGTAAGCAGTAAGCAGCATCAGCCATAAACCTACATAGATAATTAAGTGAAACCCATTACATACATTCTCTACTCAAATAAGTATTTAAATGAAAGTTGGTTAAATGCAAGGTGTGTGACTTAGTCATGTTTTCTTACTATTTTTGTTTTCACTGTTTTGCTGTAAGTAATTTGATCATCAGGCCGGTTTGAAAAAAGCTTTATATTTATATAGGTGAAAAAACTGTACGGCACGAGATGATGTTTAGTAAATATATTGTGAGTGTAGTGTGAGTGAATAAGACGATGTTTCACATCCAAGGGACATTCGAGCAGTCGTTACGCTGCGGTGACGATTTGTCACCCAGTGGTAATAAGACCTTGGCGGCTCTTGCAAAAATTCATAAACACTGCACGGGCAAGTCCCACGCCCATGGTTGTGTGGATTCCAAACATAATCCACTTGCCAAATCCGACTCGAACAACAGCTTGCAATCCAAAAAATCCTACCGCAGCGATTGCATCATAGAAATTAAAGAAGCTGTTAAAAACGACAATTGCTCATCGAAAAACAACGGGAATACGAAAACATTCAGTAACAGCACCAGCTCTTATGATGGTCACAGCGACACTGATTCAGAAAAAACTTTTAAGTTCCGAAATGAAAACAAGCTGGCCGACCCCTGTGAGCGCTTGTTCTCCCAAAATACAAAAGCATCTCTCATGAAAACAGCTCGCATGCGATATGCTGATGACAGTGTAACATCTCCAACAAATGATGAAGTTGATGGGGACAAGTGGAAAAGTAATTTCACGAGAACGTCTTTACGTGGAAGCTATAAGGAAAGGAAATCAGCTGTTGTAACAATTGAGGATATTAAATCTGACGGAATAAAGAACACCGATGATTTTGGTCAGTTGGAACATGTCGATGAGAAGAAAAAAGTACCAAATCATACAAAAAATACTGTAACACGTGTAGGTTCTTCCAATTCCATTACCAATGGAAAGAGCAGTTCGAACGGAACCAAACCTCCGTGGCGCGGCGCTAGCAAAAACGGAATACCCAATGAGGCTTTTGTCCGAACCCCATCATTACGAGGCAGTATTAGAAAGAAAAAGAACGACGGTGTTCCTTGGCGTAAGCTGTACGAATACTCTCTGTGGAGAAAGTGTGGCGTCAATTTTGCCTCAAATGGAGCTGATTCGGATCGTGCCCTCCTTAGACCCTGGAGCGAGTTTTCCTCTCAATCGCCGCCACCATACGAGGTAAGTACTGCGGGTACAAAATTCTGATCTAAAATTCTATATATCTGGAAATCTTTTATAAGTCTCTGTATCGCAATAAATAGAACAATGTTGAATACCATTAAACAGGGAGAGGCAGTCACGGATTACGACGTACACACAAAGTTTATAGAGTTAATTTTATTTTATAGTTACTTTGTACCACATTATCGGGTCAGATTTACAAGATAAAAACCTTTTGATTTACAAAGGTTGGCCAGCAATAAGTACTTTCCAGTCTTATCGTTGAACCACTATAGATAAGCGCACCTCTGTTTGTATCTCTTATCTTTAAAGCTTAATATTTTATCTGAGAACAGAATAATTTAAGAAATTCATAAAAAATATTCTGTGTATCTGCAACTATGAGACGCGTTCTAAATCGCATATATATTTTTTTGAAATGTACTTTTCTTGATACAATTAGGACTATTTTTTTTCAATCGTTGAACTTTAGGCGCCGTCGGCTACCAGACGTGTAAACACAGGAACTGTTACAAAGAAGAGGTCGTTGTGATTTATGGATTCTTGCAACTGGCTATTTTGTTTCGTTTCGTTATGGGATTTTAATACACAACAGAAAGGCTATGGATTAATCGCCATTTAAATTACTTATCTTCAGCTTAATGCGTTATTATAAATTGTTTCTTTATTAATTCTATATAATAAATAATACAGCCTTGGTTTAATGCTTACAATGCTAGAGACGTTTGTTTTGCATATGGGCTAAAAATCTCATATACTCAGATAGATTATAACTAAATAGTAGATTAGTAACAACTTCATGTAACCTGACACTATGTTACCAGCTGTTGTGAAGTCAATTCTGCTGTGTATTAATTATTAAATTAATATTCAGTTTAATAACTTACCATAACAAACTATAACGAAGCAGTAACACTGGTAAAGTAAATGTAATGTACATACATATATGTAAATGAAGTTGTTGCGTGCATTAAATCGCCAATGTGACGGCGTTACAACTTACAAGGCGTTCTTACATAAACGATGTTAGAGCGAATAAAAATCAAGTGTGTATACTCCTTTTTTATCACATGATTTGAATTGTTATTACCTGATTCACTGTGACTGAATTATTAGAGACAGTTGATACTTATGTTGTACAATTAAGTAAACTGGATCTCACATAGATATAAGCAACGAAGAAATTACTAAAGAATAAAACTAGCAAGAATTTATTTATTGAATGTTTAAACTCACCTTGTAATCTTGATGACGCTACGCTTTGAAAACCATGAATAGTAAGTTAGTATTTTAAAATTATCTGATTTAAATCGATACAGATTCAGAGACGTGTTGAATTTGTATCTATATAATAATTGAAAGTTCAGTCGGCCTCACCAAACAATGGTGTTGTAAGATCTATGCTATATTAATCTTTATTCATCTCCTACATCCAAATCGTGTTGCGAAATACATTTGCTTTGTCATTATCATCATATTTACATTTATGACAGTGATTCATATAATTACTAAGTAAAACTTATATCGTTTTAATAATCGTCCTGTTTTTTTCTGTATCATTTATAATAAAGTGTTGTAGCGATTAAGAAACATTTTGATTTGTTAAGATGAATTTAGTTATAACAAATAAAGTTTTGAACATACCGTTTGAATTTGACTTTGTTTCTAAGATAACATCTATTGATATAAGTTGAAAAATAAAGAAAAAAATATTCATCTCTTATTTATATTTTTTTATAGTATCCTATTCTAGCCAGAGACCCCATAGTTAATAGTTAAACCAGTAAGTATTAGTAGTAAAATAAGTAGTTTAGTTTTTCAGTTAAAGATATATTAGATCAAATTTTTTTACAAGTCACTATTTATTTATGTTCGTAGTATAATGTTTATACTATTATTTTTTTATTTTTATTACAAAAAAAAAACACTCGGTATTAATGCTTATTAACAGGAATTTTGATTTTTTGATTTCTCTACGTTCTTGATTGTCCTTTGTGAAAATTCGCTTCTTTGATGTATATGTATATCCTATCTTATAACCCTAAAAAAAATGTTAGTAGCTTGAATGCCATAAAGTTCTTATTGAAATGTTCTACCCATCTCCTAGATTTATCCTACAGCCTAATAAAATTAAACAAAAACAACATGGAAAAAAGACGCAGATGTACAAATGTTAGTGTAATATTAATACGATAAGATTCAATTATATAATTGTCGTACAAAATGTCTTACAGAGCTATAATGTCAAATGTATTTATTTTTAGCTTCATGTAAACAATTAACACGTATTGCAATCACCTTGACCCGTGTTCTAACTGATTGCGTAGATTGTCTCGTATCTCGGATACAATACATATTATATTAAAATTCTATTGTTTTATATTATTTTAACAATTGACGTACGTAAACATAACCAGTAGAGCGAGCTTTTTTCATCTACAGTTTGGAAATGAAGTTATATTTTTGTGAATTGATTTATTTGATCGTCGCCAGAAAATAAATAAAGGAAACTTGTTAATATTTACATACTTCATAATGAATGGAAGGGAATTTATTATTGTATTAATATAGAAAATAACATATAAAAGAAATGAATCTCTTAAATCCGGAATATGTCGTGTATACAGTGAACCCCACAGTCTTATAAGGCGCACCCACACCGTAATGTTACGAAAGTGCAGCGTGCATTGTACACTTCAATCACGACTTCTTCGCCCCTACCACGGGCTTGTCTCGAATCGAATATAAATAGTGTCTAGATTTTCATTCATAAATTATAGAACTTATTACAGTATATGAATGTGAGAATAAAGTATCTTTAGTTACTTTCTAGTTTGTTGCATAGTAAGGGACATCGTTGACATTCATCGTAAAGTCGTCTTAATTTTGTCTTCGTCTATTCTAGTTTAGCAAATGATGTAATATATGTAAATGTTGTTGTATAGGTTTCGATTTCAATTGAGGGAGTACCTTTTAAGGATCTCATACTCTGTGAAAATAATATTATTTTCTATCCTCAAAAGCCTGGTTTAGTTTTACCTGTCACGTCTAAAATTACCCTGAATATATTACCAATTTTGGGTAAGATAACATTTGAAAATATTTTAAGTATGTAATCACATTGTTAAATCTTAAGTCGGTCGATTCAATTCAGCTAAGTGTTTGCACTAAGTTAATTTAAGGATTAGTATTCCTTTGTGTACCTACAGTGATATCATCGCTACAAAGTTCACCCACAATCAGAAGATGATATTAAATGATTCATGCAAGTCTGGAGGATCAATTGATAGAACAAATGATCGATCGATTGATTATTATTATTATTATTACACGAGTGGTTAAATCGTTTTGATAGTCCCCTTTATGTTTCAAGTGTACTCTGGAAGGTATGGCCTCTTGTTAATATAAACCACTCTGTATACTGTTTATTTTAACTTTAGACTTTATGTCGATAGTGAAGTTCGTTTATCGATTGTTTTGTTTGCTCTACTTACTTCACTATCAGTTAGCAGTCCTTCCTGTATAGCCTTAATAGATTATTGCTTCATTAACATATTAAAAGCTTTCGTTTTATAATATTTTTTTTCTTTTAATTATATTTATTTTATGTATATAACCGTCAACAATAATCCTATCAAATTTTCATCAACCGTCGCTTATAAACCGTACGCTTTTATATATGACGTGACAATAATAGAAATAATATTAATATATGTAGATTTTATAATTATTATTATAAATGCATCGTGTTTCTATGCAGGCTGTCGGTGGACGTGAACCATAAAACCATATCAAACAAAAATGCATCAAACAAATCATTAAGAATTCGCCACACGACTTTGACATCCGGCATTCCATTTATATCCGTCATATATATTTCATTGCCTGGATTTCGTATAAATATAACTGCTATCCTTTTATCATAGAACCGATTACTGATATTGTATTACTGTATCGTATAACCATAGTAATTTAATACAATTCGTTTCAAAAATTAAAACAAAGTGGTTATTTTTTATGACGAGCCCATACATCTAAAGGAAATTTTTGTCATATGTTATATTTAGAGTTACGTTCCTAAAATGGACGATCTATTCTGATATATGAACTATGAAGACGGAATTCTAACACGTCTCCGCTTCCTGCCCTCGCCTTATAAGTATTCTTTGAGCGTTTAAGCTCGCGTCAGGATTAAACATTCACTACTAATAATACCTGATGACAGATTTTTTTTTGGTTTTCGTATAGGAATGTTTACGATATCGAATTAATTGAATATTTTCTACCCTTAGCCAGCCAGTATTTTTGTAGGTAATTAAAAGATCTCAGAAATTGAACGGTGGGGAAAATATCGATGTCATCATTAAGTATTGCAAGTTCAAATAAAAAAATTGTCCTACAACAGTGCTGTTATCATTTAAATGAACAAAACTGAGTACAAGTTGACGTAATGAGTGCCATATAATGTAATCAAGTTACCATTTTTAACAAGCAACTCGTCGCCTGCCTCTATAGAGGTTTCTAGACGTATTAACGGCCTTGTAGCGAGGAGAAATTTTCACATGTTTTTTTTGTATTGATCTACATTGGGACATTATTAAACGATTATACATTGTTCCGGGATCGTCTTGTTATAAAACCAGATGTGTTCTGTTTTATACTTTATTTTTCTTTTAACTAAAAAAAATTCTCACTTAAATATATTCTCATTTACAATACGTCTTATAGTGTCTATTGATTGATTATATTTTTCAATAAAGTAGAAACTTTACGACTGTATTATTGTTTGATTTTGTAAAGAAACATTTTATCGATGTGCTGCTAATACGCATTCTATTACATAGATAAAATAAATAGATTTTAACACCTAGTATCACAATAATATATATTACAATACATAATGGAGCTCACGTATCCGAATACAGCTTAATTGAATCTTTTCAATAATTATCATAAGAATTTATTCGTCAGATTTATAGGAACTTCTCATAAAGAAATCGTACGTCCAAAAATTTCAAATCCAAATCATTAATAGTCATAATAAATGAAATCAATTACATTACTTGTGTAATTTAGGCGTATCAAAATTCAAAAGATAATTAAGCAATAATATTTTTGATATGACTGACGCTGGATCGAGTGATGTTGTAATTAATGCTGTGAAATGTTCAATACTATGATACTATCTATCGCTGACAGTTGCATGTCAAGGGTCACTCTTGACATGTGAGTATTTTACGATCGGAATGTTGAAATTTCACACAATGTTACCTATACAAAAATTAAAGAAAAATCTCCTAGTGAAAATTTAAAAAAATATCAGGGCTATAAAAAAAATCACCTCCATTGTGAATGGAGGTGATTTTTTTTATAGCCCTGATATTTTTTTAAATTTTCACTAGGAGATTTTTCTTTAATGTTTGTATAGGTAACATCAATAGTACATTCTGCCTTCATGTGGATGATACTGGCAGAATGTACTATTGACGTCTTTGCACGGTTGAAGGCCGTATATAAAAAAAAAACAACTATAATGAAATATACTAATCTATGGATATCAGAATAAGAATTTTGTTATCACTTTCCAAATGCTCCAGTAATAAATTTATATCGTGAGCTTATTAATTATTATTGTACCGAACACGAAAAGACCAAAAGTGTCCTGTTTCTAGATATCTAATAAACAGGAATCCAGACGTTATTTACAACTTGTGTCAAAGCGGACCACTTGTAATGTTCACAAACTATTGTTGAAATGTTAAATTGTAATCGGACAGCGTCGAATTGGTAATAAATGTACCTTTCAGTTTATGTATTATTTAGGATTAAACAAACATTTAAATTATTCATAGATATTATTGATTCATTCTCTGAAATTATTGCATCGAATTCCTTATGTTGTTTTAACTTATGGTTTAAAAAAGACAAAGAATCCTATAACTTTGACTGGATATTTCGAAAAATATCTATTGAATTGTTTTCTATCTGATTTGAGATAAAGAAGCTGACAAAATCTGTTTAATATATTGTATAATAACATTTTTTCTTTTTATTATACCACGAGTTCTTCAAATCATTTACAAGCAAAACAAAATACCAATAAGTATTATTTTTATAATATGCGTTTGATGTTTTCGTCAGACATCATCAATCGTCGTATATTCATAGTTTGTGCCATACAAAGGTACCGCTTATGCCATTTATAATAATCGTAGGTCATAAAGATATGAGTATATGTAAATTATAGAACGTATGACATCTGAGGCATTCACAAGTTGAAAGTTCAAAATACAGCCGTTACAGTTATATGAATAACTTATTAAATCGATTTAGAATAAAAAATTTATAATATTTTTTATTTCATACAAGTATTTGTATTATAGAAAATGTCTTTGGATATTTGGTTATTACGAAATCGTATAATGAATTTAGTTGCTTTCAGTCATCGTTAATATTATTAAGTTTATTGAGCGTTGTAAGCAAATGTATTAGCTGAGGTTAAATTATTATGGAGGCCTTAGAACTTGTGTAACACGAACTAGGCCTATCTTGTGCTGATACTAATTCTATATAGTACTGGTTTTTAAAATATTATACTTATTTTATTGTTGATATTACAGTTATTTTAACTATTTTTACGTATTATGTCGGTTCAATATGTTAAGTTGAAGAACATTTATAATATTTCGACACACGACTCTAATAGATCGTAACCACAGGTGTTAGAAACAGCTGCTAAATAAAACGACATCGCTAATCTTGATGCCCTAAAATTTTGTATAAGTATGGTAAATAAAACAACATTGTAGCTAGAAAATAGGAAGTCGCTTGTAAAATTAAAAATAACCTTAGGAAATGAAGCCGAATAAAATTATATTTATTAATAAAGTAAATTGTAAGGGGTTAGATTTTTGACAAGACTATGATTTTGTATTATAATAATTAAGAACAGACTGTATTAAATAATTGCATCCAATGCTATCGGAAATAAAATCGAAAACCTACAAGTTTTGTAATGCTGCATCATACGCGTATTATATATTTAATGTACTGCACGACATATCGTTGAAAATACTTAACATCACATAATAAAAATTGTATATACTTATACATACGTACATATATGTTAATATTTTATGTTTTTTCGACCTTTCTTTCCTGTAAACACCTACTTATATAAATTCTAATCTGCATTTGTAAAACTTTTCTTGTAAAGTCAAGGAGATAAATGAACTTATAATTTTATCTCTTTTATTAATAGAAAAAACAGAGTAAGTAGTTATTATTTCATTATTGTAATTAAAAGAAATAAATACCATTACATGATAAATAATTAAGTTTTATAAAACTAGTAATTTTATTTGCGGAAATGTTAATGTGCATTATACGCATAATTGTAGCTAATAAGATTTGCTATGTCGCGTAGGTTTTCAATAGGCTGTATGTTATGCTTCCTTGTGCGCATGCGCGGCCAGTGTGGGTGAGCCTTTATGTTAGTAGGAAACGCCGCGCAAACAGAAATACATTATAAAACAATGTCGCTAATAACCAGTTTATTTGAGCTAATTGATTGGTTGAAAATGCTCTATATGAGGATCGTACTGAAGTTGGTATTTTTTGAAATCAGTGTCTCAAATTCGAAGGATGAGCATGTGTTGCCATTACCAGATATTCAAAGGAATCCACATAACACAATAATAGTATTTAATGAGTCACGCCGATTGAAAAAGGTATCATTGAAGTGTCTGATGTCTCGAAAAAGAGAATATACCTATATTGGGACTAATTTATTGAATGCGATTATTTTTTATCTATGATAATGCATAAAAGTTCGAAATTTAAATATTTATTTGACATATATAAATAGAATAATACATTTATTTTGAAAGATTAAACAAGGTCGTATAAACTAGAATGTCGTGTGCACGGAAGATTAACTTTTAACAGGTTTTTTTTACGAAATGGCCCTCTTCTATTGAATATGATATAATTAATCAGAATAATGTTTATGCTCTTATTATTGTTGAAAAAGAATAAAAATATAAGTATATTTTTTTGTTTACAGGCAAAGTCCGAAGAGCAGCTTGCATGCGAGAAAGAATGGCTTCAAGCCGGTCAGATGTGGCTGGCCCATCGTGGAGGGTTTACAGCCGTCGTGAGAGAGGGAGACGCGGATCCTGGCAGGGCTAAAGTCAGGGTACTACAGACAGGAGAGATCATCACAGTCGACGAAGATGATTTAGAGAAGGTATGCCGAAATATATTAGGTTTTATGATTCAGGTTAAAAAAAAACATCCATAGGAATTTGATTCAACTATATTCCGTCTAGGAACTGTATGATAGTAAAAGTTTTATCCATGAATTCACCAAGTTGATTGCCGAAATTCAGATTGTTGTGAGAGTATTTACAATCTTTACTTTATTAACGCTTTTTGGGTTTGACGCTACGGAGTGAAAGATGTTTATATTACCTGTGTATTGATTGGGAAAACGAATACAGAACCAAAAAACAGACTCGAACAAGTTTGCAGAAAATATATGGCTTAATTTTTTCCTTCCAGGCTAATCCCCCTCAATTGGAGCGATGCGAGGACATTGCATCGTTGCGTTGCCTGAACGAGTGCGGTGCGTTGCACGTGCTGCGTTCACGTTATGCCGCTGCGTTGCCGCACGCTCGTGCCGGACACGCTTTACTTGTGCTTGGACCACCCCGTCGTTCCACACCCGTTTATACAGAAAAGGTTACTTTGATTAAAGTTTCTTTTTGCAAAACAGTTCCGCTATATAATATTTTGTTTCTGATATCAACTATTGAATTCAGACATATTTTTCATATATTTCTTTAAGAGATCAAGGACTTGTCGCTATTTTCAATAGGTGTTAATTGTTAATGTTGTCAATTAACGTTATCACCTTATTGTAATATCATCCGCAATGTCGCCTCGGATCGTTTGCTTGAAGAATTATAAGGACCTTCAGTTAACAGATATCGCTGTCGTCAGTTTGACATTTTATTTATATTTATATATATATTTGCTAATATTAATTTAATTGATACTAAATATAGAAAGTGAAAGTATCAAAGATCCAGATTATTTGCGTAGGCTTATATCGTTTATGATTTATTTCAATTTAGGCCATGAAATCATTTATAAATAATATTATTGCATGAGATATTTATTAACAATTCTACTATCCTTAAAATTACTGTATAGAAAAAGTCAAAAAAATTAAACCCGTGTCGATAATAGTAAGTTACCGCCATCCTTACATTTGAGCTATCGTGTAATCAAGTATTATATCGCAGGTTGCCGCTATGTTCCGCAGCTGCCGCACCGATGATATGCCGCCGCATGTTTTTGCGGCAGCTCAATCAGCACACCGCGCTATGTTGGCCGCCAGGAGAGATAGGGCTATTGTGTTCCTTGGAAGGTAAGTTATATGATGAAGAAATATCGCAAATAATGCTCTTCCTATGTTGAGCAATTATTATTATAACTAAACTATTAGATAAAAATAAGTCGTCTGCCAGTATTGTACGAATTTCGCTTTTATATTACATTGTGTAGTTAGGCGAAGAAATATAAAATAATGCCTGTATAGTTCTATCACTGCGCTGAAACTTCTTTCACTGCACTGATTCGTCTTTCGCATATAGTACGTGAATAGAAGAAGATTTTTTATTTTATTTTACTGTATAGAATTTTAGTTTATTTGTAAATATTGTATCTATTTTCCATACAATATCCTGTACCGTACAATCCAAATGAAAGTATGAAGTTTTTTTCATATAAATAAATAGTTGTTTGTTGAATTGACATATTTCTTTAAAAATCATAGAACAATGTTCAAGATAATTTATGTGAATAGATTCAATTGAGGACATCTCATACAAGACTGAATAGTATAGGGAATGAGTCATTTTCGATATTTATTACATCTACTTGACTGATCATAGTAGGCACTATAATTTCTAAGAAAATGTGTCACAAGATGCACTTAGATGATCTATGTCGACTATTCCCTTATATAAGAAATGAAATTTCATCTTAACCGTATTTCTATAAATAAATGTATGGATTTCTTTATCTGAATTAGCCCGTTTGATCTTACAAACGACTTGTGACTGGCAGCACTGCTATCGCGATTAAGAAGATATTACTCGAACTTTACCTTAATTTCAATAGCAATAAGACTTACAATCAAATAATATATATAATAAGACTGTTTTGTTAAATAGCGAAACTATTGCATGCCCTAATAGTGGGTAATTGGCAACATGATGGAGAAATTGGAATCGATACCATATAACAAGCTTATTTTTATTAATATTTAGTAAAACAAGTCGAGTTATACATTATTAATATTAATGATGAGCTCTTAAAGAAGTTCAAGGTTCCTTATCGGTTTTTCCTAAAAAGTAATGCGAAATATACATATAATAATATATAATTTATATTCTCTTCTTCACATTCACGACCTCATCAATGTGACATAACCTGTTACATCGCTATATAAAGTTATTTTACAAATGAAATATTATAATTTTGTTATATTATATAACTTAATGTTCCTTAAATCATCATAAATTTATTTTGAATCAGGCCTTAATAAATTTTAACACAATTCTTTGAGATGTCTGATGTTTGCAGTAAAAGTTTTGTGTTACAGGATAAAGTATGATATATAAGTTACTACATAAAATCACTTTAATGTAATTTATTTTCTTTGGCAAAATACTACTGTCCTAAGGAGAATATACTTTTGATTGTTTCTGTATTAAAAAAAATTGAGATTATATAGACCAAAAAAAATCTTCTTTAAATTATTAATTTTGAATCCATTAATTGACATAAGTTTCTAAATAGGTTTTTTAATTCCACTATAGTAATTTTCTTAGCGTGAAGTATTCCATAGCTTATATTGATATTGAAATCGTTGGTTCTATTCAAATCTTCTGGACTTTTTGCCAACTCTGATCCAATAATTTTCCTCTAGGTCCGGTTCAGGTAAGACCTCTGCTATGCGTCACTGTGTTTGGTACCTGGCTACAGCTTACCCGGCGCAAGGCTCCAAGCTCACACCGGAGAGGCTTGAAGCTGCTCTGGATGTACTGCATATATTCGGCTCTAGTCGGTTAGTTACCTAATTCGTGTATTAAAATTTATTTTACACATATTTCTAAGATCTTACTTACTTACTTAATCTCGTTTTTTTTTCGAAATAAATGTGTTTTTTTGCTGATACATAAATCTTATTCAATTATATTATTCTTTATAGGAGTGCCTCAAATCTCCACGCATCACGTTTCGTTTCTCTAACGTCGCTGGACTTCGACGGTGCGGGTGCATTAGTGTCAGCTTCTGTACAAGCTCTCTTGCCGGATCTCAGACCTGATCAATCCCCACTCAGGGCCTTACACACGTGAGTAAAGCTTATACATATGACTGGTTATTTAAATGAATATAAACTTCATATTAAATGTTCTAGATTGTTCCACGGCTGTGATGCTCGTCTTCGTCGCGAGCTTCTCCTGGATCAAGCTCCAGTGAATGCTCCCAATCCATACATCAACTCCTCGGATAAAACAGACGCTCCGACAGAATTCGTTGCTTTGAAGGAGGCGTTGCAACTTTTGTCAGTGACCGAGCAAGAGCAATTGGCAGTGTGGAAGATTGTAGCTGCTATATGTCACTTGGGATGGGCCGGAGTTGCTAGAGGTATGGCTTCAGATACTTTTATTATTTACAGGAACATCCCATACTATGTAACTTATACATATCTCTTGCTTAGTGAAATTTATAAATCGGTGTATATATCCAGTATTCAAATTTAGTCAATGTCATTTTAATTTGGTTATTTGATTATCAAGGTTAAGCATTTTATTTATATGGATATGATCTTACCTATAGCACTCCATATGAAGCTATAATGTTCGTATAATAATATTGGCTGGTACATATGTTTCAGCTAACGCTGGTTCCGGTGTGAGGTATCAGTTCGCTAGTACAGGTTGTGCGGGTCGAGCTGGTCGTCTACTTGGTGTTACAGCTGAGGAACTCGCCAAGGCTTGCTTCGCCCCCGCAAGCCCGCCCTCGCCGCAGCCACCTACTGGATTGAGGTAACACTATATATATTTCTACTACTATTAATTATAGGTAAAATACTTTTTATGTATAGCCAAGCTATGGTCAGTTGCTACAGCTCGAACATGGGCTGGCTTGACAGTTGAAGTATGACGGTCTCGTAAATCGGTTTTAAATAGCCTTTAATGGCTGCGTGAGAGAGTAAGAGAGAGTAGTTTGCAAATTCCTTTTCTTTTCCTCTCCTTTTCCCACAATCGAAGTCCCACATTCCAATCTTCCCTTAAGTAGGCTGTCTGTTCGTTTGCCACGTTTGATAAAAAAAAAACTATGAACCAAAATACTTTTATACGCTTTTTCGCAGGGCCTACTTAAATTGGTCTATTTACTTATATTATACTATATGGTGAAACAACAATACGTGGTAACTTATTATCCGTGTGTACTAAATGCTTGTAACCAATATTTTTAGAACTCCATCGCCTTCGAATGAGAAGGAAGCGCCAGGATCGGACGCTCTCGATGCATTCGCCACGGGACTGTATAGCGAAGTATTCAACGTTATCGTAGGATTCGTCAACAGGTAAAGTATATCATATAATGCATATTACTTGTAAAAACTAGATGTGCCCGCGATTTCGTTTCGAAATAGTTATTTTTATTGTAATATTAATAACATGAATAGAAATTCAGAAATAAATAATCACAAGTTACAGCTCAATATATCAGCTATCATCTAAATAACAAACAGTAACTATAATTTTATTAAGTCTTACAGAATAAATACAATTAAACCTAAGACTTAAGCTATAAAAGATAAAGCTTTGTTCAGTACAAACAATTAAACACAGCTCAATAAATAAATATAAATAGTTTATTTATTTATCATAATATATTTTCCAGGAGTACGTCAACTTCAAGCCGCACTTCCAGCTCTTTGCTACTCCTGGATTCTCCAGGTGCTGATAACCCAATGTGTTCCGGGCAACAGAGTGGCGCCGGGTTGACCAAGCTACTGTCCAATTATATGCAGGTGAAGAGAATTAACCTGGACATATTATTATAGTATTAACATCTTACTTACATTTATATAGAAAGCTTTCGAAAGTGATATCCATATTATATACATACTAGCTGCGCCCCGCGGTGTTACCCGCGGTTTTCCGGGATATGAAGTAGACTATGTGTTATTCTTGGACGTCAGCTTCCTGTATACAAAATTTTATCAAAATCGGTTCAGCCGTTTGAGCGTGAATAAGTAACAAACATACACACACACTCACAAACTTTTGCAATTATAATATTAGTAGGATATATTAATAATAACGTATTTTGTATAGGAACGTTTACAAGCCGTGTTCCACGAGGCGATGCTAGTTGCTCCACGCGAACGCTACGCACAAGAAGGAGTCACTATAGACGACGGGAACGATGAAGGTTAGTCATATATATTCTCTTCTACCTGGCAATTGCCCAGCTATAGCCAGGGTCTTCCTTACATGTTGTGAATAGTTTTGGCTATTTTGTTTTTACGACCGGCCGCCTGCCTGACATTAACCCTCTGAGAATAACATATTTATTATATATGTATTAGTTATATTTATTATATATTAATATGTATTTTATAGTATATAGACACACATTAAATATACGTAATATACGCTGTGCAAATTGCGAATATCATTTGCTATTTAATTGTAGGTATTGGTAGTAATCTTGTATGCTATGCGAATTCCATGCGATAGATAAAATTTCTTAACTTATATTTCGTGTGATCGAGAAGTGGCTTTGATAAGTATATTAGCATTTGACGTGTTTGTTTTTCATGTAGTGTCATTGATTGTAGTCAAGGATTGAAATATAAGGAAAATGAAATGTTATAATGACTATTAACTTTTCTATTAGACCAAAATATCTTTCAAAATCGGTTTAGCACTTCCAAAGTATACTGGATACAAACTGACAAATGAGGCAAACAGACAAATGTAATGCAAAAACTTAAATGTTAGTAAAGCTGCTATACATGTAACTAATATGTGTATTAAATAATAAAAGTATAGCGCTGGAATTGATGCGAATTTTAATAATATATATTTTATAAGAGAGATAAATTAACTAAGTTGATATGCAAGTGTAACGCTAGTGGGTAAATAAAATAAAGTATATTTTCAAACTAACTATAATTCCTCACTTTGTTTAAGGTTATTTATTTTGATTGTAAGATTTTGCTGACACAAACAATACCTTGCAACGATCTTTTTTTTGTGTAATCTGTGTTTATCTTTATGTCAAAAATTTATTAAACACACAATAATATTATAATATATAGAATATTTGCTAATACATTATCTAATATATAAAATTCTCGTGTCACAGTTTTCGTGCCCATACTCCTCCGAAACAACCTGACCGATTTTGATGAAATTTTTTGTGCTTATTCGGTAGCTATGAGAATCGGCCAACATCTATTTTTCATCCCCCTAAATGTTAGGGGTAGTCCACCCCTAAATTTTTTTATTTTATTTTTTAGACAAAATTTTTAATTACTATTTTTTTATGATACAACGTACAAAAATACATACAATCCTAAATTTTCACCCTTCTACGATCAACCCTTATTTTTTAATAGCTATTTTAGTAATTTAATCATTTTTCATCTCCGGTCGATAACTGATCAATCGTCATTTAATAAGTTATCCCCGCCAGATATCTACAGGTGTCACTTCTGACCCAGTAAACAGCACGGAGTAGGGATGAGAACGAAGCCGGTCTTCTGTTTCTCTCACACAATTAGACTTCTCTCACTCCCTACACAGTTGTCGGCCATCGTTATTGTTTGTGCATCAAGTGTAGTAGTAACGTTGACAATTATTATTTTGCTAGCTCAGTGTAACTCTCATATTAACTATTAATCATTCCTAATCACTTCAAAACACGGAGATTTATGGCTTTAATAGGTAAACTCCAAAAATATAAATAAAAAAACGTAACAGATATTTCTTGATTATAGGGCGAAACGAAGTTCGCCGGGTCTTCTAGTATTATATATAAATAAAATTTATTTTGCTTGAAAATTTTGAAACATAGGACATATCGGTTGCTTTAAATGTTTGCAGATTGGCTATCAGAGTCTGTTAACCCAGGGCCGATGGTGGATTTATTGGACAAGTCACCACAGAACACAATAGTTAGAAGTTCACAGGCTGATCTGAGAGATTGTGACCGGCGGGGACTTTTGTGGTAATTAAATATATCTTTACTATATAGTTTCTGAGTTGAAATATATTCTTATTAAAATTTTCAAATATATCTATAAGATATTTATTTAGATTAGATCAGTGATTTAGTTAGTATTGTTGGACTTAACGGCATATATTTCAATATGTTATCTTATATTGGTAATTACTAATTACAATATATAAGTAATATCAGTTACATGATTATTTAACTCACAATTAGGTATACAAATGAGATAGGTATAGTGTTTTCTGTCATATAATGTATATATGTAATTATTTATTTGTATGTACATCAGGTTATTGGACGAGGAATCTATGTACCCGGGTTCTTCAGACGACACTTTCTTAGAGCGCGTCATGTCTCAATACGGCGCCCCCCATCATACACACTACCTGATAAAGAAGGCTCCTCATAATAGACAATTTATACTGCAACATTTACAGGTATTGTTATAATATATATGAGACTAGCTGCGCCCCGCGGTGTTACCCGCGGATTTCCGGGATGTAAAGTAGCCTATGTGTTATTCCTGGACGTCAGCTTCCTGTATACAAAATTTTATCAAAATCGGTTCAGCCATTTGAGCGTGAAGAAGTAACAAACATACACACACACTCATAAACTTTCGCAATTATAATATTAGTAGGATTAATTTGTACAAATAACACCTTCTTGGTGCTAAGAAAATGAATGGAAATTCCTAGATTTACGAAAAGCGATTTTATATTGATGATTTGAGTCAAGTAACTAAGTTAGCATCACTATTAGATGTCTGTTGTTATATTCAGAGTACAATTAGAGATTAAGTGCAATACTGTTACTGTTTAAAATGAAGAAAATAATAATGTCGTCAGAATCGATATTACCATTTTAGTTTGGTCTCCCGTTGTATAGTGTTAACATGTCGATCGAGGCCATCCTAAGTTATCACTTTATAACAGTCTCACCTTACAGTATTTTCTAAAGATTTCAATAATTCCAGGGCACCAATCCTGTTTTATATGATGTCTCCGGTTGGGTGAAGGCAAGCCGCGAGAATCCAGCTATGAAGAGAGCTCATACATTACTTAAGGAGAGCCAAAAGTAATTTGATTTTTTATTAACAATAATTTTTCATACTAAATATATTTTTATTAATAATATTTTTCTTCACTAGTCCATTGTTATCGTCGTGTGAACGTACCACTGACGCTGGCACGCTACGAAGAGCTGCATCGGTACGACGATCGCTGGCTTCTGGTTAGTTTATACCTCATACTTACACACACATACAAACATACATATATGAAGCTACACACACATACTCATATGAAGATAGATAAATCGTACCTCAGAGAAGTTGTAACTACACAATATTACCGAAAATTTATTGGAATGTGAATTATAAAATATAATTCGTAGTTATAGAATTTTATAATATATACTTTCTCCTGCATAATTCAGGGTTAATCCCCCAGATGGATGTACATGAGATCTGTTATAATTACACTGACAAATATAAGTTGACCTCCGAAAGAAGTTAAATTACTTTATTCTGCTCTCGTCTTGACACGGATTATGCATCTTATGAACATAATAATAAAGTCATATTTCATATAAATTTAAATCTCAGGCGATGTTGCCACCTTCTCCCGGACCTCAATCATACGTCGTTCCCTCAATTCTGGTAAGCTGGGTCGACTGACTATAGAATTGCTTGTTAAGACGATCCCGAACAAAATGCCGTTTAATTATTGTCACCGATGATTTTTTATACTGTCACATTACTACTAAAACTTTTTTTGGCAGAGTTTTGCTGTTATTAACAGAATAATTATGTGCGCTAGATGTTTTTCTATCTTCGTTATTATTATGTACAGAATAGTGAAGTCGCTACCGTATTCAATTGACGCTAAAACCTAATATAGATGTTCTACGCTAATTAACGTGTTTCAATAAAATTCAACATTCTTTTATATAGAAATCCTTTATATAGCAGAAATTAAAATGTCTGGCTTCTGCTCTCATATTTGAATATAATATATGTAGCCTAAAAACAAGTTGCATCTTCACACACTGAGTAATCGTGTCTAAGTTTTCAGTCATTTCTTCTCGCACGATACTATCAATATATTTTATATGAACTATCAAAAGAACTATGTTTTTAATGATTTTATCCTTATATAAGCCGTAACAATTTCTCATATTTACCTGGCACAATGATGTTATTCATTTCCTCATACATTTCTATTATCTCCTACCATTAATTTGATAAGTTCTATCTCACCGACGTAAGATTCCTAGATATTGTAAAAAACGCATCCTATAAAGAATTTATAATGTTGCTATCAAAGGGTATTGTATAGGTGTGTTTTTATTCGATAATAATAATGTAATAAATATTTTGTGTCTATGGTCCAAGTTATACTGGCCAATATATGTATATTGATTTGAAGTTAACTCATTGCTCACTTAACTCGTTTTTTATTTCCACTTATTTCTGTTAAAGTGATTTATTCTAATGTCAACTATAATAGTAATGGTAAGTGACTAAGTTCGCAAAATGTTAATAGATATATTTACGAGTCGCATACTGTTAAGTAACTTACATAATAATAAAGTACTGTTCTTATATAAAACATTATATACAAACATAAATAGTATATTAATATAATTAACAGGTACGGCTGGTATGAAGCGTCGTTCAACGGCTCTCCAAGCCAAGTTTATAGCTGACGGGGTCGTAGATACTTTACGCCGCTGCGGATCAGGCGGGATTCAGTTTGTATGCTGTCTCCTAACAAACCAACCTAACGAGACCCCCGACGATGTAAACGTACCGCTATTAAGATCCCAGGTAATAAAATACAAAAAAATCAAAATTTTATATTTATGTATTACATGTTTATTTGGAATTGATTCGTAGCGATTGTCTACGTAGCGAAACAAACGTATTGTATATTAAAATCTCGTAGATGCGCTACGTCGTAGCGTCGACGTATGAGTATGCATAATGTGTTCATTAATGTTGATTTATCTTGCTTGAAGGCTGACACTGTTAGATATAATATTGATGATATATTTATCAATAAATATTATTTGTGATGATAAGACATGTACTTAAATAAATGATAAATATATGATTTGTATAAATGAAACTGTAATAGATTGTAATATTACTAAATAATTTATATATTAATAATTATATATTGTTTCTAGTTCCGCGGCTTCCAATTACTAGACGCGGCTAGATTGTATAAACAAGGATTCCCTGAACATATGCCATTATCGGAATTCGCTAGGAGGTGAGTAATTTTTTTTTTGGACTGGAATATGCTCTTTCGACATAGTTTCTAACACGTTTTCTAATAGATATCGACTATTGGCGACGTCGGAGAAGGAGGAATCTGAAACTTCCCAGCAGTCAACGACTTTATCTGATAGACAGATAGTTGACGAGATGCTGTTAGTGTTGGACTTAGATGTGACTAGCTACAGACTAGGACCCACTCAGGTAAGATAAAATAAGTCGCTCATAAATCGATATTGATATCGATTCCAATTCGATATCAAATCGATTTCAATAAGCTAAAGTATATTATGTGAAGAATCAGAATCGATTTTATATTCGTTAAAGATATTATTAATCCTCATTACGTACGATGATACGGCGGTATCGATATCATAGACCAACATAACATTTTTTTTTAATACATATCGTGTTTATAAAAACGCATCATTCTATTCGAGTCGGTACAAATTCACAGCAACAATGTGTGTTTTTTTTCTCTCATATGACGCTTTCGCTCGTTTATGAGCGGCTTGAAGTTAATAGTTTAGAGTTCCGTGGGCAGATATGAAAACGGTGAACCAGGTACAAGTTTCAAACAGTTATTTTTGGAGAACACTATTATCATAATTATAAGGAATCCATTCTAATTTCGTTCATATTTATACTTAAATAAGGTTTATTATGAAATGATATTAATTTGAATCAATGTTTTTTGGATATAGTACGAGATTATTTAATTAAATTTTTACTTGTATAATTCTTTTTATTTAAACGAATGAAATATCATAAATCTTCTTAATGGCTGTTATTAGCTTCAATTAACTCATTAAGTACAAGTCCTCCAACCTTATACGGTCACGGAGACATCACAAAGCCGTACTAAGACGCCACGATTACATTATTAATTATTATCATACTCGGAAACTTAAGATTTTTATACACAAATTAAGATCTCCATTTTTAAACATTCACGAAATAATATAATGACGCTATTATAAAAGAAAAGTTTTTCTCAGCAATTTTTACTTTAATGTGACTCGTGTTAAAAAATAATTCGTTGCGAGCAAAAAAAAATAGCGTTCCAAGTAATAAGTCTATTATACGGTGAGGACAAAATAAATTTAATTTTGGACAGCTTTCACTGTGTAATAGACGGAAATGTACGTCTTATGAAGAACGCATCTATCAATACATTATTATATTCTGCATCATCAGCAACTCGAATGGTTTTATTCTAATTTGCTCTTAAAATTACCTTTTGGAACATTATCAGGTGAAAGTGCGTATCGTGAGACCCTTAGTACGGGTTTTTAAGTTTTTTCTACAATCGTATATTCGTAAGTAATATTTATATGAGAACATTGAGTGCTGTTTACGATTACCCCCTACTACTGGTTTTGATGTTTTCAAAACTATCAAAGTTATCGTGACTCGGTAACACTGTTAGGTAACATCAAGTTTTATTTTTATTCTATCCGTCTGTTCAAATAGTTTTTGTTTAAGCCGACGAAAGTACGAGAACAAGCGTTACGGATGTTGCCCGCGTAACACTCGTACCTTTTTTTTTATTATGACGAATTTGATTTTCACTTTTGCTTTGATATACAATAAAATATATTTCATATATTATTTTAAATTTTTATATATGGCAAATCATTTGTGTAATTTAATTTCCTTAAAAAGTTATTCATTGAGAGAACATTATAGTATAACTTTGTTCAAATATCGCAAATCATTCCTAACGCCAGCTGTCCCATTTCTAGTAAGATCTTATCTTTAATAGTTTATTGAACCAAATCATTATATAATTTATTCTAAGCAACTTACATAACATTACGTCGTTATGTACGACAAAAAACTTTCATTAACAGTAATGAGACTATAATAACTATATTTAATATTATTTTTAACATCAATCTTTGTTCACAATAAAAATGTTATTAGACTTCTATTTTCTCTTTCCATCAATAGATTACTATTCCATTATTAAAAATCAAAAATGTTCATCATACTTCATCCTATACGACCTCCTTTTACTTTATTTTTTTTTAATTCGTAAAATTTATTTATAGTTATGTATGTGTTATTGTAACACAGAAATAAGGTTAAATAATATATATGGTAGGTCGCTAAAGCCTGTTCGGAAGTGACACAATGACATAACGCGTTACGTCACCAGCGGCTCGCTGACACACATACATGTTAACGGAACATTGCATTATTATAGATTACGTAATGTATTTTCACTTTTAATACATTATTAGATATACAATGACGATGCATTACTCTATATTTAATATATTAAAGTTTCAAAAGTTATTTATAATTTTTATAGCTGATATGTTGTGATGAAAAATTATAAGCTTTGCGGTAAACACGAATGACGTAAACGATTTATTTTTTTGTTTATGTAATACGATTAAATTGTTGCCTTAATAATAATTTAATTATTGATATTAAGTATGGAAGTTCTTAATACTTTTGAATGCGGACTTAACTCGTGAAAGGGATTATATTGGAACGAGAATTCTGTTTAATTGTCCTATATATATGTACATGTACGTGTATGTGTGTGTGTGTGTGTGTGTGTGTGTGTGTGTGTGTGTGTGCGTGTGTGTGTATAGTTATACATATATTTATATGTATCATCAATTCTACTATCACTCCTAACTTTATCATATGTATTATTACGATGATGTATCGCAAATCATTCAAAATAATTTTCACATAACAGGGCCTCAGTACTTACTATCCTTGCATTTTTATTATAAAAGTGAAATAAGCAGTAGGACAAGTTTCAATAAGAAACCTGGTGAAGACTAAAGCCTGTATGCGTTTTCTACGACTGGATCGAAAGGTGGTTTAGATTAGAAATTCTATTTAGTAATATAATTAACGCACAAAGATATCTTTGTTATTCCATAAAGCGTATAAAATTAACGACTTCTAAATTAATTGATCTTATTTAGTTTGATTGAGCAGCATTAATGTAGTACAAAAAATATATTATTTAAATCTCCTGTGATCTTAGAACGCATATAAACTCATCTTTTTTTCAACCTTTCAACAACACAATGATCGCTGAACTTTCCCATCTCTATAAAAAAACGACTCGAGCCGCTTTGATTAGTTCAATTTTTTTCTCAATGTTAGCACTTCACAATGGGTTATAATAAGTTGTTATTTAGTATTGTGTTGAATGCAATTAATCACATTGACCAGATTTTGATATCATCATTTGGTTTGATAATATTTTTAATTTATTCCACGACTTGTTGAAATTAAATTATCACTAAGATCTCAACTATGACCTGTTAAATACTGAGTCGGATTGAATTTCGTTTAAATCACGCTCACTCTAGCGTGTCTGTTTTTATTCTATGGCTTCATTCGCACTGGAAACGTGGAATATTTCGCCAATGTCAACTTTTTATTTGTTGGACGAATTGTACTCAAGTACTGTGTGGAAAAATACTAATGAGTTTGTCGAATGGAATAAAGGCGTTTATTTATATTTATTTTTAAAGAAGACTACTTAATGTTTTACGAGCTTCTTTTATCGAGTTGCTTATTAAAACCTCTTTTATATTCCTAATGATTTTAATCTAGAAACGTAAATTCATTATACGAAACTATACAAACATATGCTATATATTCTCACTACACAATGAGCTCTGATTAGTTTTAGTCTTGTCACAATGAATTGTAATTGTATTAAAAGAAGATCGTGGTATCAGGGTCACAGTTAATTAATTCTTAAACAAACCTCTATATAGGTTAGTTCTGATACAATTCTGTACAATCAAACATAAATAAAGCTTGGAATTATTATTTAAATATATGTATATATATATATGTACCATTAATAAATATCGTCATACTTACATATAACAGTAGTATTGTAATATACATTGATATATAATAATAATATTTTTCATGTCTACCATTTTGAACCTTAATCCGAATTACATAAAGGTTAGTAAAAATGTATTTAAAAATAAAATAGAATAAAGAAAGACATAGCGTTACTAATGCTAAAATTATAATAATTATTTACAACAGTTATTTCATTAACATATTAATTAGATGCGTTATACATTTATTTCTACCTCGAACAGTATTTGTATAAACCAGAATACAAAATAAATATATCTATATTCTATCTAGAATTTATTTAAAAACACTAGCGCTAAGTTCTAACGGTTTCTTATAGCCTATGATCGGTTTCACACAATTGACTAAAAATATAATTATATTTGGCAGCTTTATTGAAGTAATTTGCAATTTTATGACTCTTTATATCTAATAGCAGTTAGACATGTTCTCGAACTTGCATCTCAATTAACCGTATTTTTTTTAGAAAGTAAGTACCAAGAAGTGTTTCTAACTGTCTGGAAAAATCTAGTGTTAATAATTTTTATTCGAATTTCCTACAACTAAATGTTTGTTTCTGGAGCTCCTTTTTATAATATTTTACTAAGTGAAATCACTAAGCACCGTATATAAAAAGGTTACTGCGTATAATCCCTTTTGAATATTACAAATGTTAAAAAAATATTTGGCCAGTCATCTGTGGGCCGTTATAATGTTAGATTCAATATTTCAAAATACAAAGTCATAATTTTGTTTTAATACATATAATAACATTTCTATTACCGCCAGAGGCTGTATGTAATAGTCATAGTATTTTGTATTGAATATTATAACTTGCACATATTTTGAGTCGGATAAAAGAATACTAATGATGAAGTTTTTGAGTATGTGATATTTTTAAAATATATTAAGATTTTTTTTATCAACTACCTCAATTTAATTTTCTTTTATTGTACTTAAATAAGTTTTATTTAAAGGAGACCTTTCTGTAATACAAAACATACCTAGATGTGCATAGAGTGTTAATTAATCATTCGGTACTTCCCGAAGGGTCTAAATAGAAAACTGTGAGTTACATAAAAGTGAATGTGCTAGTCAATGGTACATAACAACGTAGATGGCATGTCTATCACAAGTTAAAGTAACTTGAAAGAATATTATCAATTTTCAAACCATCTTTTAAATTGGTACTTGCAAACGGTCAATAAATTACTTTATGGCCGTACAATTATATGGTGATATATTTATGACATGTTCTAATGGTTGTATTAACTACGTTTATTATGAGGCTGGTTGTTTTCAGCTGCTTGAGTCTTGGCTTTGATTGACTTTGGACTAAATAAGAAATTCTTGTTATGTAAACAATTGTCTCCCTTAACATTTCATGGGTAGAACATAGTCTCCTCATTTGGTTATTAATATTTTGGGATGTTACAACGTTTGCTATAATAACTGCAAAATATTATAAATGATACTATGTGATTATGACGTTCTTCTCACTGAATTATCGAGACTGCTTTATTGTTCCTAAAAAATCAATTTCTCGTAGTATTCTTTGATACCTATATATCTTTGCCTGAGTTAAGTATATTGCTGTAAATAAACAATGTGTTTGGAGGTCGTACCTACCCGTATGCATATCGGTTGGTGTTACGTGTTCCTGTAGGCCGTGGTGCAGAGCTCGCCCGGCGCTCGCGCCAGTCTCTCACCGTATCTCGACTAACGCGCACTTTCGCTGTCGTACACCGCTTCCGCACTTCAAGCGTTTCCTTGTTTTGTTTTTGTTTTTTTTTTCACATCAGATGTGATCAATGAGGTTTTATATTTCAGTTGTAACTGGTTATTAAGAACTAGAACATATCTCGATCGAACGTATTATTCCTTAGTCAAACCTTCGACAGCGCTCTAATTAGGTTTTCAAAGAACATTTACATTTGACATATCTCAGATCTGCAGTTGGTGTCAATGTCATAACTGATATACAGCCATTAAAATCTGTGATATAAATTGAAGGGCTCGTAAAAATTTGTATTGAAATACGATCTGCATAGACAATAAGTAAGTAAGAAGTCGTGAATCAAAACGGATTGTTACAACAAATTGTATAGAGAACAGTGTGTGGGGACAGTGTTGTAAGGAAATTATTCCTGTACTGTGTTATATTACAATGTTTGTGATCCTGGCCTTTATCGGGGTCAGATTCGCCCTTCATGTGTCAAGGCAGAGCGGTAGATCGCTGGCCGACGAGTGCTACACAAGAAAGTAAATATACTAATTATTATTAACAATTAAATATAAAACATGTGGTAGTTGTGCAATTTATAAGTATATATATTAAATGGAAAGTATTATCTAAGTATTTCGCAATAAAATATTATACAATGTTATAAAATGTCGTGTATGTGCCAGCTTTTACGTTAATGTGCCTGTTACATTGTCCGTCTGATTGTTTTACTATCGGCTCTCTCAACGGTGCAATATAAATACTTTGAAAACATACATTTGTAATGTTCTAAACGACGTGATTGATATGATCTCATAAAACTTATTGACGTTAAAACAAAAATAAATACATTCGAATCGGTAATATAAAACACTTATATTTGTATCATACATTGCAATGAGAGAATATGATGAAGAAAATAATAATAAGATAATTCAAAAGAATCATTTTCATCCTAATATAAATATGCCTAAATTGTATTCTTGACGCACGTTACGCTACTGCGGTTAGTTAGTGGATTAGATTAGTAGTTATTTATATGACTAATTAAAATGTTAACCAGTACCCATCTCACTTAGAAAATTTTAACTCACTCAAAACGTCTCACTCAATGAAGAGTGTTTTTTAAATCACTCCACACTGACATTTGACTGGTGAATTTAGGATAACATGTAAAAGTACTTTTTAGGCGCTACTTATTTTATTCTGATAGTTTTTTATTTTGATTGATATAGTTATTTGAATATTAATATATAAAGTTTTGTGAATGCAAAAAAATATAATAAACTATATACGTACATATATGTATCTGACCATATTTTTCTTATTAGTATTTTCTTATTATGGAAACAGATATATGTTAGAGTTTAAACTATGCTAATTGAATTAAAAATAGTTTCTCATCAATTTTGTTTTCATAAAATACTGACTGTCTAAAATGTTTCTGGATTAGTGACTTGTAAAAAATATTATACTTTGATCACACTAAATAATAAATTCATTTTAAATTTTTCGAAAGGTGAGCCTAGATAAATAAAATGAAGGGCAAATATATACATATAAATTAAACGTAGCTACATATAAAGTCAACGAAATTGTAATCATTTATTGTTGGGTTTCAAAAGTCTTAACAATAATGATAGTTTATAATTAATATTACTTCTATACGAATTATAACTCAATACAATTATACCGTTAAATGGGTTTGCGTGAGTTGTAAACCTTAACCCTTTCTGATGCATCACGAAATCGGTCACAAACGTTCTTCTGTATCAACTGTTATTTGATGTTATTTTGACACGTATATTATTCATTTATAATAAAATCCGTTCAAACACAATATTTATGCAATAGGAAGTAAAAAGGTAGTTATATTTTATACCACAAATTATGTAACGGTCGGTATGAAAGTATTGATCTTTCACTCCAAAAACAATCAAGTACCAAATTTAATGCCAAATAACTTTCCTAAATAAATTACGATTGTTTATTATATTTTATTATTCAGGCGTGGGTGAAACGTCCATAGATGTTAAGACCATAGTATTGTGTATACCGTTAAAGTAAGACCCTGGTGTTTGGTGTCATCAAAACAATTTTTTCGTATATAACATTTTTTATTTCCATACTTTCACATGTTTAAAAAGGTAAACAATGATATGAAAGTATTTGCTCACCTAAAACATGGATAAGAAACTTCTTTTAGGATTACAAGTTTTATAAGCACCGTGTATAGAGAAATGTTATATTATAAACCAAAATCGATATGTCGAATCGATTATATGATTCGCATGTCAGGCGGAATAGAAATAGTAATTTGATATTACAGTCACGCGTAACTAATGTGACGATTGAAGATTTGGATGGTTATATACAATAGTAAGATCTTTATGTATAACTGTATTATGAGGTCTATCGATGACTGTGAATAAGATTTAATTTAAACTTATGTTATATATTATAGTATTTCATAGTTTTTTATATTTAACTAGAAGACCTGGCGAACTTCGCTCTATAATCAAGAAATATCTATTACGTTTTTTTATTCATATTTTTGGAGTTTACCTATTAAAGCCATAAATCTCCTTGTTTTGAAGTGCGAAAGAATGATTGACATATTAGTTAGTTGTCAAATCTAATGTCAAAAAAAAAAGTTTGTATGGGAAATAGAAAAGGGCTGTTTTTATTGTTTTCCGAGTAATGAATCAAGTTTTTTCAGCTTTTATACCTTCCCTGAACCTCCACGAACATTTCAAGACTAAGATAAGATAAATCCGTTCAGCTGTTCTCGAGTTTTAGCGAGACTAAGGAACAGCAATCCATTTTTATATATATAGAAGATAGAAGATTAAATTCATACGTCCTAGGGTTATAAAAAACACGTTCGAGGGTCTTAAACAGTCAAGCGACCACCACAACAATTGGTCTTAAGTTAATTGTTTCAAAGTATAATATGATTAAAATGAAAATAAATATACATTTTTCTTTAGGCTTCGTAAAAAGGTCTTTACATTATCATACGTCATTAATGTCTCAGATAAAGCTTCGTCATCGTGATATACTGAAATATTACAATACAGTACGGTGGTATTAAATAATAAATATTTATGTTTAATGCCGAAGATCAATCTCCTAATACTTTATATATGTATTTATGTATGTTATTAAAACACTGAATAAGTAAAAACTGTTATATCCGAGGTCGCAACGCTAAACTAGCATAAAATATTTCATAACTACCATATATATATTAAATGCCAGGGACACAGAAATGTAAATACATATTTAATATTTTAATTATTATTTGTTTATTTTCTTGGTATTTTAACAGTATTACTGCTGCAGAAAAATCTTTTACATATTATTCAATAGGCAATTCGTCGTATGCTTAAAAAGTAATGTTCATTTTTGTTGGATAAAAAATATGGAACGGATTTTATTCGACATTTTTCTTAAGTTACGTCGATTTTTTTGTTATTTTTATTGATTAATTAAAAAAATATATTTACTAATCTATGCTAAATAGGGTCAGTTATGCATAAAAATAAGTTTTTTTATATGTCTCCGAAACCTCTTTCGTGCTAGTAATATAAAACGGCTGGAGTAGTTAAAGTAATAATATAATTTTGTATCTTTGATTTCAATTAATTGCTCAACCGGACCTCGAATTTATTTAAACCTGTTATTCTTGAAAATCACCAAAAACATAAAGTGAACGTAGGATGTCATGCAATCTGCTATTAGGACAAGGTCAGTAATGTATCGAATACTGATATAGATAATTGATTTTAGGTTAATCTATCGATCTGACCTCGCAGGAGACGAAATCTTGAAATTAATAGACAACAATTATTTTCACACTTACATTTAATATGTCATATATGACTATAAAAATGTTGTAAATTTTGTTATACTTTCTTTAAAGACTCCTGATTTAATACGGCACAAGGTCGCAGTTATTTAAGTATATTTTCCAGTCAATGAATTTTTCAATCTTTATACGTATGTACGTACAATGTTTATTTTTACTTCAAATTATATACATATAAATAATAAGTGTAAAATACGAAATTAGTAATGAAAATATGTTATATATGTACATTCATTTAACTCAAAAATCCTTTCAAGCAAGTTATTTGTAGATAACTTTTTAGCCTTTACAGATACTGAACTTCGATTTTATCGATTTTAAAAGATCCTATAATCAATTGATCGTGTCCAACACTATTCATTACTTATACGTCAATATAAAAAACACTGAGGAGTCATGACATTAATACCCGATCATTATATAGGATAATAATTTTTTAATATTTATCAAACGAATTAAATTGCATATTTCACGAGGCTTCGTGACCAGTATGATTTCTAGTGTTTCAGAACAAGTTTTTATATTTCAATATCTTTTTATCTTTCTATCTCGTGTAACGATCATGACTATGCTATCGTCTGCTACTTATTATGTTTATTTAAATTATTCAAACTAATGTCAAAGGTTACACGGCGTCAATGTAATAAATTTATTAAAATTTTATTTCTATAATAATTTATAGCAATTATTTTAAGTACTCCAATCAAAATGTCTTATATTAAACTTTAAAATCCAATCAAGATAAATTCCTTAATGAATTTTAATCGTTTATAACCTTTTGTCATTATGAAATTCACTCTTTGTCAATCTCTATAATTATACAATACAACTTTATTACTATTCTTCTATCGTAATATTTTAAGTATTGTACGACCGGTGATAAAAACCTACACGGTTTGTAAGTAAATATTTGAACATTGTATATTCCGTCTTCTATTTCACACTTACATGTCGAAAGAGTTTTTATAGACTTTATTTTATCAACGTGAAATTTTCTCTTTTACAAACGTCGTTATGAATCATCAATATCCAAAAAATATTCTGTCATACATCATTAGATCTTTGAAGCCGCTTTAAAAGACTTTAATATATGAAGTACTCACATAATCAACTCTAATGACGTTACTTA